GTGTGCCTTGCAGGTGGACACAGATGCTGGATCATCTCCTTGTCACCATTCGGTACCGAGTTCTGGCTCTGGCTCAAACTTTCATGGAGATTCATATTCAGTAGAGCCATTCATGATAAGTAAATAATGCACTCAACAGCAGAGCAATTCTGCAACGTGAAATACTTTTTCTAAAACATTTTGCTTTGTAGGAAGAATTACTGAAACGTCTTTAATTTTTGATCAGTGAGATCTGCAGAAGACATGAATAATGTATGGGCATGCGCAGGGGCTGGAAGCGGGGTGTCTCTGCTCTGCTGCTGGAGCACCTCCCTGTCAGGGCAGCTTTGCTAATGAGAAAAACATCTTACAGTGCGATGCCTTTCCAAATCTGAAAGCAGTCAGTTGGAGCTGCTGCAACTGCTGCTCCCTGTTGGTTACGCCTTTAAGAGCACCACATTTCTGAGCGTCCATCTATTTTGTCAGTATTTGGGGTACAGGTAAAAATGCGACCTTTTAGAATCAGAGAAAAGTTCTAACAGTTTCAGAAATAATTATTTCTAATATTTTTTAATCAGATAAATTCAACATTAGGCAGCGTCTCAAAAGCCACAAATAACATGAGTTACTTCTGTATGTAAAAAGCATGGACTTAAAGTTGCAAGAATGCAACTTGAAGCTAGTGGGTATTTTCTGCTCTTGAGTTGCCTTTTCCTTTTTGATATGCGCTACCACTCTGTGCCATGTAGATTTAGTGCTATGTGAGAGCACCCTTAAAGCCTGGGAATGGCTTCTCTGGCACTCAGCAGTGATGCTGTATCATATCTCAAGTGAGGTGCCGAAGGAATGCGTACATAAATTTAATTCTTGCTCAGTTTTACACTTTGCTTTATAATGATTTGGCAACTGAATTTGCTCGACAGTGGTAACTGTCTCTTTGCATTCTCAGGTTTTTCTTTGCCAGATCAGGTTATTTTGCTGTTTTCTCTTATCTTAAGCTGCATTGTCAGCTTCTGACTTCCAGAACTTCAGTGTAAAGCTCAGGTGTATCTCCCCAAAGCTGTGTGCTCTCCCACACCTTGAGGAGATGATACACCCTGGCGTGCTGATCATGCTTTGCATCTAGGGCTGCCAGTGTTGAAGTTGTCCTGCAATGATAATTGCACTGTGACCATGTGTGGCTGCATGGCACTGCGCTGTGGGGCCATTTGGATCCCCAGCATCAGCAGCATTCAGCCTGGAGAAAGATGGGAAACTAAGCAACAGAAGATGAGGTCCTGAACAATGGCCTTTCACCAATCCTTGCCCTTCAGCTCCTGTTCCTGCCTCCTTTCTGTACCTCCTCAGATGACTATAAACAATTCCACTTAGTAAATTCCCGGGGCAGTGGGCACAACCCTGAGCTGCTGGAACTCAGGTAGTGTTTGGACACATCTCTCAGCCATTTGGTGATCATTAAGCGATCATCAGCATGAACAAGGTGAAGCATCCTTCTTCCCATTCTAATTGGCTGGACATGTGAGATTTGTGTCTGCACTTGGGATTTGATGACTGATGTAATCAGAGCAGCTTGTGTGCATTCAAGAAAATGTAGTGTACAGAATGCCCAATATGCCAGCTGTCTTTGATCACACCAAAGAGAAATGAAAGGACTTTTGCATTGGTATTACTTCTCTACAAGATGGTTGCATAACTAAGGGGGACAGTTGAACAGATTCAGGTTTCCTAAATAGATGGTGTCTTTCTGTCTCCAACAAAGAACAGAAATGACTGCTTTTCATTATGAGAGAACTAGCAGGAAAATAGGGCAGAATCTGGAGATTTTACATTCTCTTTGAAACCAAATAAAGTAAATATGGCCTTTAAAAAACAATACTGATTTACTATCTCCAGTAATCATGACATTTTCTATTACTTTCAGACATCTTTAGTCTTTGGTCCTCCATTAATTCCAAACAAGAAGGATAGCAGTGAATACTTGGTGGCTTGCAATGTGGAGTGCCAAATAAAAATAAAGCTTTCAGGAAGTCTCACCATTTTGTCAGTCTGCCCCTCTGCTTCTTTCTGTTGTAAGGGGATGTAGGGGAATATTGGTGGGAAGGTTCAACCTCTACTGCCCTCCCACCAACATGTGCCTCTGACATGGTGGACCAGCACCATAACACAGGAGGCATTACTTCTGGAGCAGCCCTAATGTACCTCTATTACAAAATAAGTGATGCACAATGCAATTGCTCACTGTCTACTGGCTGATGCCCATCCCATTCCTCAGCAGCAGCCCACCCCCAGCCAACTCCCCTCACTTTTATCATTTTTTCTCATGATATCACCTGGTATGGAATATCCTTTTGGCCAGTTTAGGTCAGCTGTCATGGTTCTGTCCCTTCTCAATACCCCCAGCCCCTTGTCTTACAGGACAGCAGGAGGAGATGAAGCCTTGGCCCTGCCTGCACAGAGCAGCTGCAGCTGCAGGAGCCTTTGCCCCAAAGCAGAGGGACAGTAACCAGCCTGGAAGTTTTCCGTGCATGTGAGATTTGCTTTTCTTGAAAAAAAGCTGCATAAACAGATGCAGAGATAGGTGTTTGTTTCCGATACTGAGGAAATCCCTCTGAAGGGAGGTGGAAGGTAGGTGGTGTTTGCCAGTGCTAAGTGAGAAGCGTGTTGATTCTCTAAAAGCAATGCATGCTGCCAGGTTTTTCCAGCAGTTAGTGAGTGAATTAATAATCACAATTCCGTAATTAAAAGCCTGTTTGGTGTTTTTGTTTAAATTTGGAAAAGACAGGCTCCTTGGTACAGGTGCTCTTTTTGCATTGCTGTATGAGTATATTACACAGCCATGTGTCCATCTCCAGGGATCAGAGGGCTATGCTATCTTTGTAATAGAAACAGCGTTCTTATTATGTTATCATATAAAATATGGATTTTAATATTAAACTTAATGCTCTGCTATGAGGAATATGTAAACTTGGCTTCAGAGCAGCAGCATGCACTTCCTGGAATCCTGTGCATAGTGGGGGTATAAATAAACGCAGGTTCTTTGGAATTCAGTGGGGCTGATATCTGGTGTCATTAACAGGATCTGCCAGAATTTGTCTTCCCTGACAGACAGTTGATTTTTGATTAATGCAAGATGCTTTATTTTGAAAATCAATATCTTAGAAGATTAATGAATACCAAATATAAATCCAGCACAGTGATTGGCAAAGCAAATGCACGTATGCTATTTAATTGCTGTATGGCTTATCCTTTGCCAAAATTTCATTCCTTTGGAAATGTCATATTCAGCAGTCAAATTTAGATTGAGGTGCTGGAAGTCATCGTTTTTAGGTGAGGTATGAAAATGGGGTAAGTATAGGGTAGCACAGTTTACTTCTGGTTTTGAGATAAACTGGCTTCAAAGGGAATTATTTTTTATTTATGCATTAGTACAGAGTGCTGGCGACTGCCAACTGTAAGAGCTGTTCAGTGCTGTGTCAGTTATGAGGTGTCCCTAAGAGAGAAAGGTAATGCCCGATTAGCATTCAGAAAGCACACAGCTTGAATAGAAATGGCAGTGGTCAGGATGCAGATGTTTTCTGCTAGCAGGGTTACACCCAATGTCACTGTATGTATTGATCAAGTCTCACTGTTTGGTGAGAAAACTGTTGGCTGCTTTTTCTTTCAAGGATTTATTGAGTGATGACAGTACGTGTTCTCCCTCTGGAAATTATCCTCTTTGTCCACCTCTGCTAATATGCTCTGTTCCTTTTCTTCTGTCCCTGCAAGCACATTCCTGGGCTCCATCAGCAGAAGGGTGGCCAGCAGGGACAGGGAGGTGATTGTCCCCCACTACTCTGCTCTTGTGAGGCCCCACCTGCAGTGCTGTGTCCAGGTCTGGAGCCCCCAGTACAAGAAAGACAGGGAGCTGTTGGAGAGGGTCCAGAGGAGCCACAAAGATGATCAGGGGGCTGCAGCACCTCCACTACAAAGACAGGCTGAGGGAGCTGGGCTTGTTCAGCCTGGAGAAAAGAAGGCTGCAGGGTGACCTCATTGCAGCCTTTCAGTACCTAAAGGGAGCCTGCAGACAGGAGGGGAATCAACTCTTTGAAAGGGTGGATAACTGCAGGACAAGGGGAAATGGTTTGAAGCTGAGGGAAGGAAGATTGAGGTTGGATGTCAGGGGGAAGTTCTTCACAGAGAGAGTGGTGAGGTGCTGGAGCAGCTGCCTAGAGAGGCTGTGGATGCCCCGTCCATCCCTGGAGGTGTTCAAGGCCAGGTTGGATGGGGCCCTGGGCAGCCTGGGCTGGTATGAAATGTGGAGGTTGGTGGCCCTGCATGTGGCAGGGGGTTGGAGATTCGTGATCCTTGAGGTCCCTTCCAACCCGGGCCATTCTGTGATTCTGTGATTACCAGAAGAGCTCTGCTGTGTGAGGTGGGAGGTGTGAATGGGTGGTTTGGCCCTTGGGTACCATCCTGTCCAGACATCATCAGGTGTCACTGGGCGCTGGAGAGATGAGGCTGCCATCAAGTTCTATTGCCTGCTTTCTCTTTGCTAAAGTGATATACTCTTAGTTGAGGGGAAGCTGTTTGCAGCTCATGCAACTGTGCCTTCACTGGTGGGACATTAGTTTTTCCTCCCTTCCCCATTAGTTGTGAATGTGAGGTTCTCCTTAAACGAAAGGTAAAACAGTAACCAAACTTGGACATGAACAGATGCTGAACTGCTGTGTCATTCTGCTTTTTAAGTGTGTATTCAGCCAAGAATTCGTGCACAGAGCGGATTATCATTTTGTGTTTTGAATTATATAATAGGTCGTTAGAGGAGGCACTGGAATTTCATCAGCACTCAGCACACTCGCTGTGGACTAAAAAGCCATTTTGAAGTGTCAAAGCATTCTGTTGGAATAGCTGCATTGTACAGAACTGTATTTATTCCTGCTTCATTGTGACAGGATTGGTGTTCATCATTTTTTACTTCTCTGGTGTAAATAGGACCTCATGGGTAAAATTGCTTATTTTCTGCTTTTTCTTTTCTTTGACAGACTAGAGACGACTTCCTGGGCCAGGTGGATGTACCTCTTAGCCCTTCCGGTAAGAAATGCTTTTGTCTGTGTGCTTTTTTTTTTTTTTTTGTCATCCCCAGCAGTTAAAAACTCATGACAGTTTACTGAAATAAATTCAACTTAAGGCACATATTCCCAGTAGAGCCATAGAGGCTGAAAGAAAAATCTTTCAAGAATAGAGCCCTACTATGCAGAGGAGTCTGCAGTTGTTCCCTTTGCAGAGGCTAGGGAGGTGGTGATTCTCTGATGCCTACTGAAGTTTCCAAAATCCAGATTTCTCTTGATGACATCTGACATGGCCAAGCTCCATTTCTTCCAGAACTTCTGTTAAAAGTGTGGAAGAAAATAAAAATGTTTTTTTTTGGTCCCATTTATTTGTCTAAATAATGCGTGGCTAAGGCTATGGGATAAGACTAATACTCTATCATCAGGTTTTTATAGAAGTGCTTTTCATATAACGTGCTCACAGAATGATGCTCAACATTCAGAAACTGCTCAATAGTGTCCGTAAAGTAATCTTAGTCCAATTAAGAGAGCAGCAGAATTATTACAGACTGCAGTGCATGAAAGCTTTCAATGCCAGTACTGAAAAAGTTTGAGGGAGAGCTCTGTGCTTCTGCTGTCAGTAGGTGGGCCCTCAGCACATCTGTTCCTGTTGTTTCATCGGGTTGGCACGTGCTGAAAAGGCCAAAGATGGTGCTGGATTGGAGACAGGGATGCTGTAATGAAAGACAAATAACTAAATGTCAGGATGTTTGTGATTGTGATGGTGGGTATTTATGAGGAAATGTGCTCCGAAGTATAAAATGATGGTGGAAGTTTTACTGTGTGCCTATTTTGCAGAGTCAGGTAGTATTTTACAGGGCCTTTTTTTTTAGTGATCATTAGTTTTAGTTATTACAAATCATCAACAAGAGCTGAGAGAGCTACAGGCATGTCACACACTTTCTGTGAACTGCCTCGAGAAATTAGCAGCTTTCTTCCTTCCACACTGCATAAGAGGTTGACTCTTCCTATACATGAGAAACTTCACTCTCTGTGGACTTAGCTAGCTAGCACTTGAATTGCATCTCTCTAGCTCGTATTTAAAACAGTGGAATGCTACACTTACTCTTTCAAATCATTTTTAGACTTCTACTGTCATTACATGTAAACTGCTAAATTAAAATTTCATAGCTGCTTCACTGTAGAATAAGTTCAATTGTACTATGACAAGAAAAGTTTATACTTAGTACTTCCCAGTTCTTTCCACTGAGGCTCACTAGAAAGTGAATGTGCTTCCTCTACAAAATCCCTTCTCTGCATGTTTGCAGAAACTTCTTTAGCTCCAGAAGGTGCTTTCTTCTCCTGAATTTCCCTTGCAAATACTTGTAATTCGTATCTCAGAACCATTGCACTGAGAGGCACACAGCAGTGTCTGCACTGAGTGCTTTCCTGCCCATACGGATGTACTCAAACTCTGTAACAGTGACTTACATCATGCTTCTTAAGGTCTGCACTAATTTGATGCTCAGGGAAACATCTTCTGTGTCTTTTTATTTTAATCAGTGTTTTCCTCATTCATCCTTCCTGTACATTGACAGGAGAGACTGTGATATATTCAATAGCAAATGTTTTCTTTTAGCTATAGAATTGTTTGGCAAAATCCTGGTTCTTGCTGATATTATCCAACCTTTCTCAGCAAAATTTAGTTGAAGTACACACCTTTTACTTAATGTACAGTGAATACAGATGAGACTACTAAAAAGCTATACTTCATGCATGCTTCACAGTGCTGTTGGTTTGATTAAAAGCTGCTATCTCGCTGAGAAAATGGGAAGTCTGTCTCAGACAGATTAAGTGGAAACTTAATGCAGGAAATGCCTTGCAGGATGTTCTGTGACAAGCTAATCTGTATGGCATTTGATGTAAAATCTGCGATAGTGAGTTGGAATTCATTCTTAATGTACTGTTTATTGACTTTGAGGTACCACAGACAATAAAGCTTTTCATGAATAATACCTGGGAGATAGACTATCCTGTGTCTACAAACGTTTAGTAAAGGAATTGCATGCAAGTAGTATTCCTAATTGTAAAGATGGGGCTTGTAAGGGCTTTGCAGATATGCTATCATTTTCTGTAATTGGTGGCAGATGGGAGCAACGTTCTTCCAATTGTGCTCATATTAAGAAAACGTTGTGTAAATGTGGTCTTTATTGTAGCATGTGTTTACATCTTCAGTATAACACAGGTCATACTTCCAATTTCGTAGCCCCAGCCGTACAGTAACTACTGCACTCCTTAAAATCAGAAGATTTAATCTGTGTATGGATTTCTGCTTCTCCTATTTGCCTTCTCATTTCTAAATTTCTAGTTCTGTACCAATAATGGCCCTCATTTCACAGACATGGCGGGTGCAACAGATCTGAACTTCTTATATAATAGAAAGCTTTTAAGATTTAAAGCTTTATAAAACTTCCAGTTGAATGTAACTCAGACGGCGCAGCCTGTCAACCTGCAAATATTACTGCTCTGCCCCATAAGGAATTTCAACCTCTTACTGTTTTTCAAAATCTAAACAGCTTTGAAATGAGAAACAAAAGCTAGCTGAGCTGTATTTTTTTAAATAGTTTTCTAATGTGCATAAAAAAACACTCCTTCAAGTGGATGCATCCTCCTCTGGCAGTGCTGCTGGGTGTGAGCAGAAAGTTGGCAGGGGTTTGCTTTCTGGGATCTTCAGATCTGGCTGAACCATGTGCGTTTCCATGCAGCAGTGAGACCGAGTTCAGTCCATTGCTGGTATCTGCAGTGACATCTAGTGGACCTCTTGTGCAGCTATATATTAACCACCCACCCACCCAGGGTAACTCACACAGTAGATTCTTCTCTAGCAATGTCTGCAGGGTGAATGATCTTTATGGACTGCTGTGCTTGTGGGCAAGCCCTTTAAATTGTCTTTTTCTTACATACTTGTAGACTGAAGACCCAACCATGGAAAGGCCTTATACGTTTAAGGATTTCCTTCTCAGACCAAGAAGGTGAGGATTTGTATTTGTTTTTTAAAACATTTCTAACTTCAAGGCTTATTACTTGCAAATGTTGAAGAGCTATCGAATTAAATGTAACTCCATGTCTTCTAGTCACAAGTCTCGTGTAAAGGGTTTCTTGAGACTGAAGATGGCTTACATGCCTAAAAACGGTGGCCAGGAGGAAGAAAATAGTGATCAAAGGGATGAGTCTGAGGTAAGACACTTAATCAAGAGATCACTATATGATATCTTCTTTTTGTCATTTTTATACATCTGGAGGTACGTAAGTTATTAGAGATTTAGATATAGCCATAGAAGACGCTGTGGTTTTGAAAGATAAAATGATGGTGTTAGTTTAGCTTCAACATATTATTCCCCTTCCATGTTTTCAAAACCATAAGATGATATTTTTTCTATTGTTTCAAGTGACACAATGAATTCTGAAGTCTCTCTGATTCAGTTGTGGTGGTTTTTTTTCCATTTTCACGAGCATTTCCAAGGCTGTATAAGTCACGCCAAGAGAGCAGAAGAATTTGAAAAGTCTATCCACATAATTCATATTTGACATAAGCGTGATGGTCTGTTTTCAATATCTAAGTATGTCTTCCTCAGAAGTGTGTCCAAGTTAGCTGTTGGAACATTCTTCTTTATTTTCTTGGCAGCACCAGCTTCACAGAGAATAGTGCTCATGCGGGTACAGCAGGTTTAAAGACTTCCCAGCACTCCTACCACCATCATCCATTTTAAGAATTACTGTAATTAGAGCTGACAGAGTGGATGTTAGCCCAAGTTTGCTTTAATTACTAATAATGGGCAGTCATCTGTAACTTGAGAAGGGCTGTCATCCCAAGCCATACATTTGTGTTCTGCTGCTTCTCAGGAGGTCTGCTGGTACAGAGGCAGCTGAGGTGTCTCAGGGCACGTAGTAATGCAGCACCTCAGTTCATCACCTTTGGCACTTTACAAATTCAAAACCCAGCTTTTTTTCTCTCTCATCGTGTACAAAAAAGTGTATGTGTGTGTGTATAAATAAGCTTGTATTTTGTGTGTGTGTGCGTGCATGTAGTACAATTTGCTTAAAAATCTGAGGAGTTGATATACGTATGTATTTATATATCACACTCAAGCATATATTATTTTATAAAACAAACAGTAATCTGTGAACTTCATAAAAATGACCATATTTTTACTGTAACCTGATTTTTCTGTGATACTTGAAGTAACAAGACTATAAAAGGCTCCAATGTACTTACAGTTATTAAATTCTTTAATGAATGGATTCTTTTATGTAAATAATGTCTCATAATTTGTGCCTAAATAACTGACTTGAACTTATTAGCAGTTTTTTAGCAAAACTAGTCTGATAAGTATGTATTTCAAGAATAGAGTATCTCATGTAGAAAAAAATTTCAGCAGCATGCAAACAGTGATGCTCTCTTTAACCACGGCCCCTATTTTTAACATTATTTATTATCTGTTTTGCTGTTGAGAATAAATTTTTGTGACCTTCATCAGTAAGGTCCTCCCAGCTCGAGTACATAAGATAATGCCACAAGGCCCTGGCAGTGTCCTACAGAAACAGCATTTTTATAAATCAGTGATAATGAAAAACTTGTATGTTTCATTTAGGAGCACACTTCTAATTCCTTCCCTTTAGGGAAGGAATTTTCTTATCTATAATTGAATTGCAGTATTTACATAGAAAGGATACCCTATGGCAATCAGATTTTAGTTTGAATTCAGGTAGATTTATGTATTAAACTTTTGAGGTATGCTTCTGACACAGGCATAAAATACAGTGTGGTTGCAGGGGGGGGGGGATACTTAAAGTTGTGTTACACATTTGGAAGTAAAATCAGTTTTAGGTTGTTCTGTTTGCTTGGTTTTTAAATTTTTCCCAGAAAAGGCATGTTTGATTGATAAGGACATCTGCCTGTTGTTCTGCTTTTACATAGTTCCTTGGGAGTTTTTTTTTGCTGCTGTCAACAACTGTCAGACCCCTTGGCAAATTGCAGATGAGTCTGACGGAAAGATAGGACAGAGGTGGTGAACGGGAGAAGTTCCTGTGTGCTTTGGGAAAGCAAAAGGAAAAACAATGATTATCCTTTATGAGGAGAAGGACGCAGCTTGAGGTCAAAAGTTAGCAGTTGGTTCTCTTTGGCTTCATGACTGGAGATCTGCACCTGGCTGCACCTGGCACCTGGAATCCCAAACTTATAGTTTCAGTAGACTGGTAGAAGTTTAGAGTTTTTATCACTGAAATGTAGCACACGCTGTAATCATGAAGTTTCTTCCGTTTTTCATTGCCTTAGATTTAAAAAAAAAATAGGAAAAAAAAAATATTTGCCCTTGTGAGCAATACTGATGTACATTCTCTCTTTCACTTGAGCTCTAACATCTCTTTTACTCTCATTCCTAAGCATGGATGGGATGTGGTTGATTCCAGCGACTCTGCATCTCAGCGTCAGGAGGAGTTACCACCTCCTCCACTGCCTCCTGGGTGGGAGGAAAAGGTTGACAACCTGGGACGGACTTATTATGTCAACCACAACAACAGAACTACGCAATGGCACCGACCAAGTTTAATGTGAGTGACGCTGTAGTCCTTTGTCACGTTTGTGGGTATGTGCAAAAGTTAAGAAGAACAGATTATTTTCTTCTGTAGAGACTGTTGACAAAGTATTTTTAAAAAATGCAAGCACAGGCATTTCAGGCCTTTTAAGGTTTAATTAAGTTAGACTGATTGATTTTAAGGAAATCCTCTTTTGCTTATCTGTGCTTGTACTAATGCAGAGTTCCTGTTCAAGCCTTCATTATACACTGCCTGTAATTGGATTTATAATGCTGTAGCAATGTTTAACTGAAAATGTTAAGAGTTGTACTGAAATAATGAGTTAGTCAAACATCTTTTACTATTTTTCTGTATCCTAGATTAATTAGATTATCTTAGATTAATTAATTAGAATTTAATTAGTTTTTGTTCTGCAGATTTTGAACTATTTTTTTTTCAATGCTATCTCTTAAGCAGCTTTTACTTTTTCTCACGTGAATCCCATCCATCTTATAATGTATCAGTAAGTGTCTATAAAACTTCAGTTTTTATGAATTATTTAATTTAGCACCTCCTTGAATTCCGACTGTGGTAAATGAAGTGAAGATTACGTGGCTTCAGAAATCTTTACTGACACATATAAAAAAGTAATAATGATTGGAAAATGGCATCAGGTGGGTGTATAACTTGAGGGCTTCAGGGTTGGTGAGTAGCTAAGATGACCAAAAAGTCAGTGTCACAGGTGATTTGGGAATGCGTAATTACTACTAATACACTTCATGCATTATTCTAGGCGTGGTAAAGAATGAGGTGGACACCACACTCATGCAAATTAAGTAACCTTGGGGTTTTTATTGTCTCTTGTTTTAAGATAGAAACAAAGGAAAATTTAGAGTGATGCTGTCAAGCCTTGTGCCCAGGTGGCCAGTAAGGCCAACAAGGTCTTGTGTTCTATCAGAAGTAGTGTAGTCAGCAAGAGCAGGGAAATGATTGCTCACCTGTACTCAGTACAGGGTGTGAAACTGTGGTGAAACTGCACCACAGTGCTGTTGAGCTCTCACTACAAGAAAGACGTGGAAGCCCTGGTGCATGTCTAGAGAGGGGAATGGAGCTGAGAGGGGTCTGGAGCACAGTGCTATGGGGACTAGCTGAGGGAATGGGATGGTCAGTGTGGGGAAGAGAAGCTCAGGGGAGACCACATCACTACCTGCCACTCCTGAAAGTTGTGGGAGCCTCTGCTCTCAGGTAACAGTGATGGGACAGGAGGTGATGGCTGCATGTTGTGCTAGGGAAGCGTCCGGTTGGATATTAGGATATTTGTTCTCAGAAGGGGTTCTGAGGCATTGAAAGAGGCTGGCCAGAGAAGTAGTTGAAGCACCATACCTGGAGGTATTCAGAAGATGTGCAGATGTGGCACTTAGGTGGCTAGTTTAGTGGTAGGGTTGGCTGTGATGGTTTAACGGCTGGACTTGATGATCTTAGACATCTCCAAACTAAGTGATTCTGATTTTGTAAATTTATGAAACCGCTAGCAGTGGAAGGTCTCATGGGGTTGATGGTAGAATCGATAGTGTTGGCCTCTCAGTTTGAGACTAGTAACTCAGATGCTAATCTAGTCATTAAGAGAAAATATTGATTATTGTACAGTCTGTGTCAGCTGAGTAATTTGTCTTGCAGGTTGTTAAAATGTGCCGTACTAAAATGTTTTCTCAAATAAATGTTCCTGAACATAATTCTCTTTAAAAGCTACGATCCCTCATCCTGAAGGAGCGGTTTAAAAGGAATACTGCTTTTTAACAACCTCTTGTGCCCCCTGAGTACTGTACTGGAGATGCAGAGATATGCGCAGGGGGAAGTTGCACAAGCCAGGAAGGGACACCATGAAGGGAATTTGTTTTTTTTTCCATTACAACCACTGCTGGTATGAGCTGAACTAGTGGTTGTAGCCAGCAACAGCTTGTTATTGCTTTGGCTGTTGCAAAAAGAAAAGCAATAGTTGGCATAAAGAGAGGGGCAGAAGTAAAATCTCAGTGTCAGGAATGATTCTGGTCATGCTGGGAAAGGATAAAAGGGGTTAACATGTTACAGTGGGGACTTATTTTTCTGGTTTAACAACTCCGTTGTACAAAGAATGTTAATTTCCAGTCTTACATGACATTCGTGAAATGCTTCTGGTTTTATTTCATTTGGATTAAAGAATTAAATTTCCTCCTGTTTATGAAGCCTGACATGTGCAAGAGTAATGAATTTTTTATTATAATCAAAAGCATTAATGAGTTTAACATTCATAGTTTTCTTGTTCTTTTCTCCTTCGCTTCTCTTCCCCACTATCCAGTGATGTGGGATCTGATTCAGATAACAACATCAGACAAATAAACCATGAAGCAGCCCATAGGCGGTTTCGCTCTCGAAGACACATTAGTGAGGATTTGGAACCGGAACCTATGGAGACTGGAGACATTCCTGAGGTATATAAAGGTCTTGTTTTTAAGAATTTAACCAACCTCAGGCCCAAACGTTTCCCATTTTATAAGCTAATTGCTATACACCATGAACAGTAATGGTTTTGCATGGTATTTATGGAAATGGACTGAGTAGAATACCGGAGACACAGTAAGAACCCTAGATAGTTATACTTTCCTGCTTTTGTAGGTGGCCAGTCGAGTATGCACAGTGTTAAGTACCATGTAAATGCTAGGACGCACATTTGTAATAGCAAGCACTGCTCGTTATCTCTAAGTAGATAAAACACTTTCAATATTCTGCTTTGGAGAACAGTGAGACAATTTTGAAGAAACAAAATGTACCAAATGGAACTGCCATTTGTTTGAGTTTTCTTCAGTGTCTTGATTTAGAAGGAAAACAGGCTCTATTTGGAAGGAATACTTGGCTCTATTTAAAACTCTGAGATCTTGTTAATCAGTATTTTTAATCTACCGGTTGAATAATGTAATGAATTTTGGTAGATATTTTTAAGCAAACTTTTTGTGTAAAGCTCTGATCCCATTCAGCCTTAAGGAGTGTTTTATGTTGAATGTTTTTATGAATGTTTTTACTGAGAAAGACAAGTGTATTTGTGTGCGCTAGCGATTAGTTTATTTCATTAAATATTAATGCTGATGCTCACACTTGTGTTTGCCACAGCGAGGTGGCTACCTGGAATGCACAGGGAAGGAGAGGCTTGGTTTGACTTTGAATAGTTAACACAGTTTCTTTTCTTTTGTCAGCCTTGGGAAGCCATTTCAGAGGAGGCGAGTGCAACTGGGGATTCTTTAAATTTATCGTTGCCACCACCTCCTGCATCTCCTGTATCCCGTAGCAGTCCTCAGGAGCTATCTGAGGAACTGAGCAGAAGGCTTCAGATCACTCCAGACTCTAATGGGGAACAGCTGAGTTCTTTGATTGTACGTGACACGCTGCTTTCTCTGTATACATCTTTACTACTGTGATCTTTGTTAGCTTTACATAATCCTGAATTGTTTGTGTGGATGAGTAGGTATTGCTGGTCTTAGGAAAAACTGAATAACAGCTGTTAAAAGCATCTTAAAAAAAAAAACTCAGCTTAATTTCACCACAGAACAAACTGCCTTGAAGAGCAGACCTCCTTTATTTAGGTTTAATATTTTTTTTATTTTCCTACATGAGTTTAATTTGAGAGTCTACTCCTCTTATACCTTTAGTGAAACAAAATGCATCATATGATACTAGAGAGCATCAAGCTAGGAATATCCAAAAGAAAGTGGAAAGACTGAATAATGCTCCAATCATCATCCACTTTAGTATGTGATAACTTTTCAAAGCTTGGTGTTTACCTATGCATATTTATGCCGAAGAATGTCTTGTATTAGAATTTTACAAATCCCCATCATAGTTTACTGTTTAATTGTTACAAGACTAACAAAGGATTAGAATTGAAAGGAGGTATTTATGGTGAAATGCTCTGTGGATTTATTAATAACTAGTCTGGAGAACCACAGCCAGTTGCTTGAAGTGAGAAAAAAATGTAAGTTCTGTTTGTGTGTGTTACCTGTTAGTTGGACACACTTATGATGCCACAAAAAGTAAGGATACCGTGCTTTCAACTGTTGAAATGTCTCTTTGATTGAGAAAACAATTGTAAATATAAAAGAGAACATTGTGTTGAGATTTAATCATTTCCTTGGTGTGTGCTATTAAGGTACCTTTGCAGTTAAAGTGAGGGGTGATCACACTTACTCTTTCTCTGATCAAATAGAATCTTGATTAGGTGCAAATTTTTCAGAAAGAGCCTATGCAATGTATACAATGACTTGAATGTTATACAGAGATCAGTTCAGCAAGTTTTAGCTCTGATTGCCAGCCATCTGCACAAAGTCTGCTTCTGTAGATAACTGCAGGTTTAAAATAATTAAATAATTAAAATAATTCAGTGGTAATGTTTCTGTACAAAGTAGCTCTTTTATGACCCATTAAATAACACTGCAATACAAATTTTAATAAGACCACACTTGCTAAGTAAGAAATTGTCAGAGCATTTAGTGTCTGTGTTACACTACCCATTGAACTGGGTGTTGTGATACTGAAAGGAATAAAATGAAGGAGCTCTGAAATTATCCTGTCTGCACATGGAGATTAAGTGGGTCAGCAGTCCATGGCCCCAGAGGATCTGTCAGGGCAGCTTGTGTGTGTGACTCTGTTCCCACAGCTCTGGTCTCTGTGAGAGCTCACTGGCCTGATCCAGCACTTAACTTTGGGCAGTGCTTCTCCTGGGCTTGCAAATCTGCCCTGTTCTGAGATTTGTAATAATAGCAAAGAGACATCAAGAGCATTGTTTGGATTGAGCAGGGTGGTAGGAAGGGTTTGGCACTGCCAGCTAAACACAAGGTACGTCTGCTTGACATCTCCTCTTGACCCAAATTCCCCAAAGCTGTGAGATCAGCTCAGTGACTGTGCAGGCTGTTGGATCCAGGACTTTTCCTAAACCCAAATCTAGACTGGCTTTGCATGAACCTGGCTAAGATCTGCAGGCTGCTGGCTGTACCTACAGGTGCTTTGATCTCTGCAAGGCTCCCAGTGGAGGTTCTGCAGAGCATACTGCTTTCCCACCACAGGCTCAGGGTGCCATCAACACCACATGGTCATCACATGTGTTCCTGGCATCTCATTGTGCCCACATCAAGGAACAAACACAGTAAGCCATGTGTGGGAATCCAGTAGCTCTAATGTATTGATTTTCCAAGGGCTATATTGACAGTATTCAGCCAGGAGTTGTATGTCTTCCTTAAGCTGCTTGTTCTCCCTCTGGATTTTCTAAGGTGTCTTCCAAAGATACTTGAAAATAGTTAAACTTACAGACGTTTCCTTTTTTTTTTTTTTCAGCAAAGAGATCCTTCCTCAAGACTGAGATCTTGCAGTGTGACAGATACAGTTGCTGAACAGTCTCAATTATCTTTGGTAAATGAAAGCTAATCTTTATTTATTTCTTCATCTTTTAACATCATCTGATTCTGAATGGGTCTTTTCCTAGATCAGTTCTAGGCAGATCTAGTGCAGCTATGGACGTGTGGCTATCCCAAATCATTCTTGAAACCAAAACAGTGTCAGAATACAAAGTACAATGAGGAATTCCAAAAGAGATAAAAAAAATGTTTTGAGACAGAGTATAGTCATACTGTCTGACTTCAGTTATCTAACACAAAAATGTAGTTTACTAAACACTTGATGTATGAAGTGGAGAGAGAAAACTTTCCCATGAGTGTTTTCTGGTAGGGTATCAATCCACACACACAAAAGATTACACAAATTTACCATGAAAATATTAAATAGGGAGCTACTGATAAGTTCATTGCTAAAGCTGATGTCTCTCCTTTGTTTCTTTCTGTTGTTATTGGTTAGACACTTAGTGTAACTGTAGTATTTTTTTCTTTGTTCTGTGAGTTCTGTATATTCAGTGTATCTACATTTGTTGCTTGTGGTTGCATGCAGTGGCTGTTGTTCAAAAGAGTGCTTATGAAGTATGATCCACCTCTTCACTTTCTTCCCCGGATAAACAATTGTGTGGTTTTCAGTACGATTATGCCTTAACTGTCTTCTCTCCACACTAGAGGAAACTGGCACTTAACGAAGTCTGATCCAGAGATGGTCTGCTGCTTAATTTAATATAACCTCATGGAGTATGAGTGTCTTTACCTCATGCAGTCACTTGGGGCCTTGTCGTGATCCATCTTTCAGTTTGCTATTGCAGAGCATTCATTTATTTAGCAGAAGAATTGAAATCATTGCTCTATTACAAGGATGTCTCTTGATTTTAATCTTTATTGAACCAATGATAGTTTATCTTCCAGCAACTAAATCCATACCTTCTTTCTAAATTGTGCTGATTTTGACTGTATTAATTCTTAGTGAAAATTTGAAATGCCACCTTCATATTTTTGATCTAACTTTTTCTGGTGATCAAAATGAATCTTTGTTTCTAAAGGAAATTAATCACGTTACACTTAGAGTGAATGATCTTGTCATCCTTAGCAATACTGCTCATACGCTGTTCTCTTGAAATTAATTCCTTTGGTGATTTTTCTGTCAAGTTCTATCTTGTTTATCAGTGATTGATAGCTTAATTTTTTTTACATCATCTTTAAAATTATTTAAAACTAATTGCTCTTTGAATAAATTCTACACTGAAGATGATTCCTTATTCCTAAAGACGTAAGAGTAATCTGTGTCCTTCAACACAAGTGTACTTATCTGTAACATTAATTATCATTTAACAGCAGAGTGGTCCATCTAGGAGAGCTCGTTCTTCAACTGTCACAGGTGGTGAGGAACCAACGGTAATATCTTTATCCAACACTATCTCTAAATAAAATGTGGGTGAATTTAGGTCTTGTACAGTAATTAACATTTTTTCACAGAGCAGCAATGTGATAATTGACATGTAGCCACTGAAGCAGTTGTTGCATTTAATTAGTTATTTATTTATTACACTTCAGATTTTCTCAAATAATGCTTAATTCTAACTTCACTCCAATTTAAGGCTATTTTATTACTAGTACATGCTAGTTTTAACAAAGCTTTACTAAAAACATACCATAAACTTCTAAAAAACAAGATACAATGCCTAATTCTTTAAAACGTGAAATAATCAATGTTTAAAGATATCAACTCAGCATACTTGTATCTTTCATTATGCTTCTGTCTTCCCTTACTCACTGTTAGACTGATTCATTTAGATTCATAAGATTGATCTTAATTTGAGAACTGTGCAAAGATACGTCATTATGGATTGTAGTGGTCTTAATTACAGCCAATTTTCATTTTCCAGCAGTTATTCCTCACTGCAAGGCTGAAATTTTGCTTTGCTCATCTGGTAAAGTTCTTGAAATGCTTTTCTGAAAGAATTTTTCTGCATAATTAAAGACAAGCAGATTTCATTTATATTGATCTTTGCCAAAAAAAGTCTCGTTCTGATAGTCTGAAACAAATTATTTCATAGAAAGCATTATCCACTGACAGTAATAATTGGCTTTCATGAGTATTTGCACTCTTAGGTAATTTACTTCAGGGATGTACTTCAGGGATGTAAATCAAAGTTGGTACGTTTCTTATTTGTATGCAGTAGTGTCAGACCTTGGTTTGTGTTCTGATGCAGCATTCTGTGACGCTGTTTGTATTTACTGTTTTTTCAGAATCAGAGGAGCATTAGGAGTATTTCGTTCCTGCAAATTGTAATATTTTTTTTTGTGTGTCCTTGAAAATCCTCCTTGACTTTTTTTTTATTAATAGATGATCTTGTGTTGATTATACTTCTTAAAACAGTAATATTTTCTGCTATTTCTGCTAAAGCTGAGTTCATACTTCCCTGTCTCATAATTAATGTCTCTTTTTTTTTTGTTGTTCCAATGTAAGTTTATTGCAGCTTACTTAACGGGAACCTTCCCCTTGCTATCTTCACTCAGCATGCATCTATACTATGAAACCCAAATCCACAGACTGCTCAGGACTTAAATATGAATTCTTTCTTGCACTTAAATCCAGATGCGCATTCTTCAAAGGTTGCCACTTTTTTGTCCTTCAGGGACATCAAATATGTAGACATAGAATTTGTCAATGCTGAAGTTTCTAGGGCAATTCAGTTTTGCTTTCAGACTTCCTCTAATACCCATCACAAATAAGCCTTTTGATAGTTCCCCCATGTTTCTATTCTGCATGGTAGAGTATGTTGCTATCTAAAGTATGGCAGGGAGACTGAAGGGCAAGCTTCCTGTTTTGCAGATTGCATACATGGTTGCATTAAACCAGCCACTAGAAAGGAGAAGGGCTGCTGACAGTTGGAGTTGTTTTGATAGTCTGATAAAGGGAAGATCAGATGATAAAGCTGAGCATCTTTCCGGTGTTGCTGTATACTCCAAGCACCAAGTCAGTTGAAGCTGATTGTTTGCATCATGCCAAGAAGAGAAGGTGTATTTTTACAACCCAGACTATCAGCTAGCTTAATTGTCTAATTTTTAATTAAAATTCGGCTTGTGGACTGTATTCAAGCCACTTACTATGTCCTTATGACCACCAGTTAATAGCTTAGCAATGGTTAGAACAGTCTCGGTGAAGGTGCTCTCCTTATCACAGCCCATCAGCTACATGAAATGAAACAAGTGGGAAAAAGCACTTTCCAGCATTTGACTACTCTGGAAATGAATAAATTGGAGTTTGCTTCAGCGGGTATTAACTCAGCTTCCTTATCAGTTTTCCTTTTTCTGTCTCCTAATGTGCCGCATCAACTTTCTAACCCATTCATTTTCCTTTCTAATTTTTTTTCTTGATTGTCAGACGGTTCTCCAGCTCATTGTGTCAACTATACTGTTCTGCTAAAAAGCAAACATACTGATTTAAGCAAGAGCTCTGGGAAGAGGTCTTGAGAATATGAAGCGAGAACAAGGATTGCTGTAAATCACTTTGCTGGAGCAAAGAATGTACAGCGTAGAAAAATAATTTACTGAGAATCTTTGGGGACTTGAGATGTTACCAAATCCTGCTGTGCAGTGTTATTCACATGTTTTATCTCTAAGTAGTAGTTTTCCACTGCATTAATATTTTTAAATAGAATGATCATACCACACAAACCACTGTTTATAAAGACACTGAAAGAGTAATTTCTTTTTTTGCTTTGTGGTTAGGCATGGTGAATAAAGCTGAGAGCCTAGGGAAACAGAGGTGGTTATCCAAGCTGCCTTAGTTGTGTTGTAATGCTTATGGTCTCGTAAGTCTGCACAGTAAGTCAAAACGTGGAGGTATTTGGTAATCTCCAAGGCTAATTCTTCCTTGATTTTATTTAAAGATCATATAAAAGAATGCGAATAGTCTTCTTTAAACATCTTCTATCTCTTAATATCATTCACTGTCTCATATTCCAGCATCCTCTTTTTCTGCAGGAGATCTCAGTATTTTTAAGACCTCTTCCACTACAGTTATTTCTTCTAACCTGCTCTGTTTTCCTCCACAGCTGCCTTACCTTTTCAGTTGCCTTCCAGAAGCGCTCACAAAATTTGATTCACATTCACACAGTGAGAATTTAAGAGCTCAGAGATGTCTGTGTGTTAATCCTCTGTGGGACTGAGTCTTCATAGAATCAGAGTTTTAGGGGTTGGAAGAGATCTTTAGAGGTCATCTAGTCCAGCTCCTGTGCTAAAGCAGGAGAAAAGATAAATTCAGTAATATATCTTTACCAGAGTAATTTGCCTGTATTGCTGAACTTCTGCCTGCCTGCACTTAGGTTCTTTGCATATGAAATAGCTCTGAAACAGAAGCTGCCTTTCAGGTGTGGGTAAAACACTCAAAATCCCACAACAGTCACCTTTGCTCACTGTAAATTATGGTCTGTCATCACTGAGCTGGGCAAAGACAAATGCCTGAGTCTGGGGTGGTTAAACTTGGGCTCCAAAAGAGGGATTAGTGAGACCAGTGAGGAAGGAAAGCATGCAGAAATTGATAGAACAGTGAAGCTCAAACATCTCTTTATTCCAGCACTTGATGAGGTCTTTTAGATTTCACCATTCTTCTGCCATGAAGGCAGCTATGTTGAAGAAGCAGAGCGATCTCTAGCATTACAGAACCCTGATAGGTAAAATGTGACTATATATTTTCATGTGATTGATCTGTTGATTGAACCAAGTGCATAAATGCATTTTGATGTAAATAGCAAGGTGCAGATGCTGAATAGCACCTTAAACCTGCCTAGTCCTTTATGAGATGTCAGCAGAATCTGCTTCATTAGAGAGCATTCTTTAAAGAGCAAGAATGCTGTCCTGCTGGATGCAGAGGCAATACAAGCAAGTGATGTCTACAGAGAAAAGGAGTCCCAAACTGGAAAGTGATGGAGCTTAAACATGTGAATAACGATCTGGAATTGTAATCTGACTCCCTGGGCATCTTCCCCTCCTGAAATGTGCTTTTAGATGCAGACAGGTTCAGTATTAGAATTTCTTCCTAGGCTTTTTGCCCTCCAAAAGCTTTGCTGCTCATGTACACTGTATTTTTTAATTCTGTATGTCACAGAAACAAATGTCCACTTGTTTAAATCACTGAATATTTTGCTGCCCACAGAAACCTCAGAAGACAATGTCTCTTGTAGCATAACTGTTGTGTTAAATAGTGACATAATTTGTTTAATGATAATTGGTGTCATTGTCCTCATTGTCTGTCTGTTTTCTTTACAGCAACGTCTTTGTTGTGCAACTTTTTAATTAGAAAAGCGGTATCTTTTCATTCTAAAGTTTGGGCTCAATTTTAGGGTGTATCCTCTACTTTAGGACACCTAATCCTGAGTGCAATTGTTTGTAACTAAGAAGATGTTTGGACTTCACTTTTTAAGCCCACAGCGGTTTGCTGCAATTGAGTCAAGATCCCATGGTAGAGATGAGGTCAGAAGTGGAGCGATCTTCACTGGAAAGCGTGATCACTTCCTTTCTTATTTATCCACATCAATGTAAAGGGAAAAATCAACCTTAAGGGAAAATCATTACAACGCAAGGTTTCTTTTTGTCATTATATGTAACATACCAATTTAAAAGTTTGAGGGCATATAAGCTTAGCTAGTTTTGGAACAAGAGACCTGAATCTCTGCATAAGTGAATCAAAAGATCTATTATGAGAAACTACTATTTGACTCAGAGGGGTTTGAAGAAGAGCTTATATTAGATGATTTCCCAGACCACATTTTCTGTACGTTTGATAGTTGTTAGAATTACGTGCATCAACAAGTTCTTTTGAAAGAACAGGGTTAACTTTTTTCAGCTAATAAAGAAATAACAATATGGCAATTTCTTGTTGAACAGCCTTCAGTGGCCTATGTCCACACCACGCCAGGCTTACCTTCAGGCTGGGAGGAAAGAAAGGATGCAAAGGGCCGTACTTACTATGTCAATCACAACAATCGAACCACAACCTGGACACGGCCCATCATGCAGGTATGGAGATCTGTTGCTCTGTTTAGATTGCATACGTTTAGATAGCATCATATTGAGTATAATTCCAGTGGAAGCAGCTCGTTAGAACTCTGAATTAAAAAAAAAAAAAATCCAAGCGTGCTCACAACAGCTCAGGATAATCATAAAAAAATACAGGTGGGATTTTTGTTTCTATGCTTCTCTTAACTTCAGTAGTTGCAGATTAAGTTGATGCTACAAGGGAGGGCATTTGCAGAGAGGTACGAAACACAAAGAAAGACAGACATCTCTGTAGGTTTGAATTTGAAAGTTCTTTTACTTAATTAGTAATTCCAGATGTTTTGTGTCTTTGCGATGGAGTTCCAATTAAATAATGTGCTTGACTAATAGCCATAATAACGATACTAAATACTTACATAATTTTCAATTGCTTTGACTTTGGATGAACTGCAATCTTGATGACTGGCTAACTTGGTTTTGCATCTGAAACAGCTTGCAGAAGATGGCATGGTTGGGTCAGCAGCAAACAGCAACAACCATCTGAGTGAGCCCCAGATCAGACGGCCCCGCAGCCTCAGCTCACCCACAGTCACCTTATCTGCTCCACTCGAGGTGAGAAACACTGTTAGCATCACAGACCACCTTGTATCTGACTTCTCTCTTGGTTACCTTTATAACTTTCTCGTTCCCTTTCAGTTATGCAGCACAGCATTGCTATTGTTACAACATTCTTACTGTTTTGTTTGATATAATATATTGCTATTTTCTTCTAACGTTTTTCCATCTGAATCTTTACATCATACAGTAGTGTTGCTTAACTTTGATCATTGGATGATGTGAATGAATAGTCTGGCACATGCAATAAAAGACTGTGTTTTTCTTGTATGATTAAATCTCACAAATCAATTAAACATGGCTGCATTGAGGAGAGAAAGTTATGAAAAACTGCATCTTCAAATGGAAAGTGGAGCACCTTTTTTGTCATTTCTCACTTTTTCCCCTGGACAAACTGTGAAAATCTGTAAATTTCAAGCTGATATAAGAAGTCTAAGCCTACACTTACTTAAGGAACTTGTTTTAAAACCATGTTTAAATGTTCTTTCTGAAATTGTAGTTGGGACATCCATTAAGAAGTGCAGGCTGGATGTGGCTCTGGGCAGCCTGGTCTGATGACTGGCAACCCTGCCTGTGGCAGGGGGTTGAAACGAAATGATCGTTGTGGTCCTTTTCAATCCAGGCCATTCTAGGATTCTATGATAATGTCACTTCACATTTAGTATACTTTCCTATTTAAACTAACACCTATTGCACCACAAAGTACAAAGCAGTGCTTGTATCTTTTCCTTTTTAAAACGAAATGTTGACATGTACAGACCAGCTTCAGTAAAATATGTAATCAAGTGGTCATTATCATCACATAGGGATATGATCAAAATCTGTGCCCTTCAAAGTAAAAATCTTCATGAGTGACGAGGAATAGCTAATTACTGATAACTTTCCTGCATTCTAGGAAATCAATGCACTTAATTATAGTGTAAATTGCATCTGGAATGAAAAACTTCTTGCTGTGATATCACATTGTATTCAGTTTCCTTTATGAAGTGGCATTTGGCAAATCCTTATACCTTCCCCTCTGACAGGGCATGAAGGACTCCCCGGTGCGCAGAGCTGTGAAGGACACCCTTTCCAACCCGCAGTCTCCGCAGCCCTCTCCCTACAACTCTCCCAAACCACAGCACAAAGTTGCTCAGAGTTTCCTCCCTCCTGGCTGGGAGATGCGGATAGCACCCAATGGCAGGCCCTTCTTCATCGATCACAATACTAAAACTACTACTTGGGTAAGGGGAAATTTAGATAATGAAATTCAAATGGCTTTGTCTTTACTGCTCTGTTTTCCAGGCTGTAGACCCTCTATTTCGCTTTGGAACTCGTCTTGTGCTTAAGATGCAAGTTCCAGTCGAGGGATTTGTCAGTCTGAAGTTATTCATAAAGCTGAACAAAGGGAGACTGACTCCTCCATGCAGTGGTGTACCATAGCCACAGTCTGAAAGAGCAAATGTGACGCAGTGGCTGTAGTGGTGCCATTGGTACACTCAGGGAAAGGAAACTTATTTGTACATAACCACTGCAAGTTGTTTTTGGTGGATTTATGTATCATGTATCTACCATACAGTAGCATTTTGTGCTTGACTTTTTTATACTTGGCAAACCAATACAGGTATTACCTTTTAAATTGCTCAAAATTGGGTTTTGCCAGCATACAGTGTGATGGAGATTTGGTGTGCTGTTCAATTTGAGGCTGCCTCTAATTCTTGAATTTCTTTCCTGTTTATATAACGTATGTTCATCTTCGGTGAGCAGTATCCATCTTATTATTTGTTTTGTGTCATGAGGATCTGTTTTTCAATAATTCCACATTTTCAATCAGCAAGTGGGGAAAACATTAAAGTAGGAAAAAATGTCAAAGCTGACTCAGCATTTCATGTCACCATTTAAATATGAGTGGAACTTTAATTTTATAGATGTTATTCAAATTCCCAGCAGCAACTATTTTAAGGGAAATATTTCAAATGGTGGCTCTTAATCATGTTCCCAGATGTGTGTGGGTAAGTTATGTGTGGAGATCTCGATCACTGTGACTCCAAATTGATCTTCTGTGACCTATTTTACTTGCCTCTTTTTACATCTTTTGTTCATTAATGTGGTATCTGTGGATTAATAAAAACGTAAGAAGCTCATTTACATCATTTTCCAACCTTATTTCTTTTGAGGTTTTGAGAGCCAAAAATGTACAGATGACTCTAAATGGCACTTAGGAATGCATGCTTTGCTAAGAACAGGGCTGTGGAAAGAACACCCTTAATAGTTATTACTTCTTAACGTTTAAAAAAAATCATCACAATTTGTTAATATTAATTAAGTATGTGGCAAGCCCAAACGTTAAATGTTTTATAAATAAGTTTGGGTTTTGCATTTTATTCTCAGAATCGTAAAAATTAAACAGTAATTTTAATGTAGGAAGATGGCTGTTCCAGCTGTGTATGACTTTGTATGCAGATGCTGGATTTATGGTTGCATGTATCTGTTACAGGAAGATCCACGGCTGAAATTTCCAGTGCATTTGAGAACAAAAGCTTCTTTGAACCCCAACGATTTGGGCCCTCTTCCTGTAAGTGACAATGTCTTTGGGTGTATACCTGCTATCTTGTAAGAACTGTTCTGTTGTTGCAGTCTTGTATTGAATGCATATGGATATTGTTTGCTCTCATCACTTTGATGGAGATCCTAAAGCAATGTTTTTAACAATTCTTTTCAGGGAATGAGTCAGGGTGTTCAGCCAGCCCGTAGTGTTTCTGCAGTTATTAAACATTTCTTTGCTTATCTGAAGCTTTGAGCTTTGAAGAAACTCACCTTGTTTTTATCTCTGAACATGTGATTTTAGACAATTAATGGTTAACTAGCTGATAATTAACTGCTGTAGAAAAAAAAAAAATAGAAGCACATTGCTCAAAGTGAACTTTGTTTCTGCGCCAGTATATTCTGGTGTTCATAAACCTAAATCAATTCTGATTTTTGAATGAAACTTCCATATTCTGAAGAGAAAATGATTGTATTAGCCTCAAAGGCTTTGTCATATTGGTAACTAGTGCATAATAGTAATTTGCACATCGAATACAGAGCTTTGCTTTGTTTTTCAACAGCTGTATCTTTATGTCAGAGGATAACCTGTGAAAGCTGACACTTTTTCTAAGCTGCAGACCTTAATAGTGTTATGTTAATTGCCTTAAATACATTAAACATGCTTTTGAAAAATTGCCACTGGAATTGTTTTTGCAGCACCGGAAGCCACAGTGACAGTAAGCCATTAGTCATCAGCAGCAGTCTCAGCAGGTATTGCAGACATGATGTCTGCAGAGAGTTATGCCTTTAGGATGGGTGGCTGTCCTGTTGTACCAGATGTGGCATATTAAGTTATCTAGGTTTTGAACAGATTGAATAGTGAGTTTTTGGTCGTACTGATTTGCAATGAGCTGGGTTGCAGTTAGCTGAGAGCAGCTCTGTCAGCAGTCCAGAGTGAGCACTGCTTATGGGCAACAGGTGACAAAATCAGTGAGGGGCACAGACATCCTCCTCTGGAACATCCAGACATGTCCCTATTCAGGTCTTGTTAGCAAAAAGTTATGCCTTTTTTTTAAGTCGAGCTAGGCAACTTGTCAGGCTCATATCTCAAAATTCAGATCAGATTAAGAACTATATTAACTTGAACCTATTTATTACAATGAATTTTTTGATTAGAATACAGCAGTAATGCAGCATTTAGGAGAACAGCTATGGAAGTAACTGTTTTTTGTAGTTTTTCTCCAAGGACAAGTTTGTTTGATGGGAGGCACTGAACAGGAGTAACTTAGCCTGTTAATTCCAAGAGGTAAAAAGCTGCTGTGAAATGAAGGCAGCCTGACATATGTTATTGGTACTGTTAATTAGTAACAGGTTTAAACAAGCCATCTTTGACTGAGGCTGGAGCCATGGAATGGTTGGGTTGGAAGGGACCTCACAGCTGCCCAACCCCTGCCATGGGCTGGTTGCTCCCCAGCTCAAGCTGCCCAGGTTCCATCCTGGGTGCCTCAAGCACCTCCAGGGATGGGGCACCCACAGCTCTGGGCAGTGCTGGGGCCTCACCACCTCTGAGTAAAGAGTTGTCCCCTCACATCTGACTTAATTCTGTGCTCTTTAATTTAGAGCCATTATCTTTATCCAATTACTGCACTCACTGATGAACAGTCTCTTCCCAGTGTGATGGTTGCAGAGTTGAAGAAAAGTAATTTTGAAAAGATGGAAGTGAAATAATTTCCATTCTGCGTTGAAGCTGGCATACAGGTTAAAGGTGGAGCGAGTACTGGATCAGACAGCATTGCATGAACTGGAAGTGTGCTGTGTATTCTCCTTTTGTTACTAAAATTGAGAAAAGGGAATGGAGAAAAGGGCAAGAATTGAACATTAGGTTAGCCATCCTTGTCTCACTCTTAATATTTACAGTATATAACCCACAGGTGTTTCAGAAGTAAAAGGTGAAGCTCTCAGAACTAAAAAATGGTGGGCAGCCTATCCTTTGTGATTGTTTTCTCACAGTAGGAAATGGATGTGAACCCCAATGCAAGAAACTTCCACTTCAAAGCCTTAAAAAATACTTACTATATTGGATATAGTCATCTGCATAAACAGAGAATGCTTTGAATCATGCCAGATTATTGGCCTTGGCATAGCACACCTGTTTCTACTTGACCAGCACCTTTCAGACAATTTAAGTTGGCATGGATAATGTATTGCTTCATGTGTGTGAGAATGGTGGTATTTCACTTATTTTCTTTGGTTTTTTGTTTCCCATTTCCAGCCTGGTTGGGAGGAAAGGATACATCTGGACGGAAGAACGTTTTATATAGATCATAGTAAGTAAGCACTCAGGTACTGCAGCAAATAGACAAAGGGAGGTAATAAATATCGAAGTGAAAGCTTTGTAATTTTACTCTTCATTTAGGAAGCCAGGTGTTGATATGTGGAGACATTGATACCAGAGACTTAGTGCCCTCCTACGGTACTGTACATTCACCAAAAGCTTGCTTATAATTGGCTCATCAAGCTTTGTCCCTCTCTGACTTGTGAAACATTAACATTTCTTCTTTGTGGTTTCTTTTGTTCTTGTTGATATTTTGGACTCGTCGTTGTTGTTGTTGATGATCCCATGGCTTATTTGCACTTTAATAAATTAAAATATACATTAGGAATAGGAAGTAAGATGGCCACAACTCCACATGTAGGCAGCAAGTAAATTAACACTGATAATACTCTCTCTCTTCTCGTCTGAGGTCTTGTGGCAGCATTGATTCTGAGCTTATTTCATATTTATAGCATGTTATATTGCACCCAGCCTGATATCTATTTTGACTGTATCTAACTGATATCTGTTCAGATCTTCTGTTAGTGAAATTCCACTGTAGGTGATGTTTCAGTGTAGATTTGTCATACTGCAGCACCTCAAAACAACTTAGTTTTTGTTGATTAAAAACAAAACAGCACAAAAAAGCTTTTTTTTTTTTTGAAGATTAAGCTGGGCTTTCTAATTTCTACTGACAGGATAATCTTCACAGAGATAGGTAAATCAAAGCAATTGGAAGAGTGTCTGTTTGCTACATAAAAGTTAAGAGAACTAAAACGTTCAACAGTTATGTGTATTTGACAGAATTATATTTCTCCTTCAGTAGCATTAAATCCTAGCATACCTATAGTTTTGTTTACTAAATCATTAAACCATCTTTGCCTCTAAATGGGTTACATAATTTTAAATAAAAAACAGAAGCAGCACACTCACAAAGAAAAAGATTATCCCTTTCAGACATCAGCATTGAAGCGTTCTGTATCCCTTCCTTAATTTTTAATTGTTGCTACCAATAGATGTCTGGAAATAAATCTGGCAAGTTATGCCACACCGCTGCCAGAGAAAGGTCGAAGAATAAAACTTTAATGTTTGAGATACCTGTATATTTGCTGAACCTCCCTAGCTTTGATTAAATTATTCAGTTTCTAAAAATGGAGCTGATGGTATATGTTCCCTCAAATAGTTTGATGCTTTTATAAAAACAGGTGTATTTGCATCTGAAGCCTCTCTCTGTTCCCAATTCAAACTTCTTTAGCATTTTTGCAGAAATTATAAATGTTGTTTGTTTGGGTGTTAGGCTTGTTTTGATGGGTGTTTTTTTTTTTTGGAGAACTCTATTGGCTTCTATCAGATTGCCCTTGAATCTCATTGTTAACACCATAACTAGAGGTGATGCCAGGGGCATTACAGCAGACTTTGTGATGAAGTTGTGCTCAGTGCTTTGCAAATGACTGTAAACAGCAGTTTATCGAGTGTTCAGCGATTTGGCTCTAACAACCACTGTAGCATTTCTTCCCACAGTATCACAGAACCACAGAATGGCCAGGGTTGGAAGGTACTTCAAGGATCATGACTCTCCAACCCCATGCTGCATGTAGGGCACCAACCTCCACATTCAATCCTAGACCAGGCTGCCCAGGGCCCCATCCAACCTGGCCTTGAGCACCTCCAGGGACGGACAGGGCATCCACAGTCAGTAAGGAAGTGCAATGGCATTTGGCCATAATGTTAGCTTTGTGACAGAGCCTTGTGGCTCTTAATTGTTTCATGAGTAACATGAGAACATATGCTGACGTCAGCCATGGCTGCAACCAGCTGGGCTTGCTCTGGATAGGCATGCAAGTCTCGGGAGTACAGCACTATCATAAACTGGCTTAGTTAAGATGCAACAGATGTACTCCATTTCATTACTAGAATACAGCTAAATCAGATAACTTTCAACATTTGTGCTGCTGTTAAAGTCCTGGCTCCCCAGGTATATTTCTGTAATAGGCATGATTATTTGATACTATTGCCCAGTTTTGTTATATGTTTTTCTCACCCCTGAGGAAAACTGTAATAAAATTCACTGCAGCCAGCACAGAAAGCACCACTGTGGAGCAGCACAAGCTGTTATGAAGCATGCCACAAACTAAGAAAAGTAAAGCACAAAAAAGATCATTTAGGTGCTACTTTAACTTAGTGGTCTGAAAATATGATTCTTTTCAGATTTTAGCTGTAAGCTGTTCTGATTTCTTAGGAGCCACGTAGGAAAATATGTTCTACATCTTAGAAGGTATCATGAAGAACAGCACAAAGGCTTTGTTAACAAATTCAGCGTAGTTATCAGTGGTTCACTGAGGGAGGAATGGATGTGTTAAATGGGTTCCCCATTCTTCAGCATGCTGAGAAGTGAATTAGAGGGAATGTGCTCAATATATTAGTAGAAAACAGCAACACAGGAGAAGCAAGACGAGCTCACTGTAACAGGATTAGAAATGGGAATGATTGTGATGAGGTGTAGGTGCAGTGTGAATGTGTTTTATAATAATTGCAAGATATAACTCATAATAGGAATAGTTAGCAGAATTTCCTTTGAAAAAGACATGAAAAATATCAGCTGAGTGTGAGTTAATTTATCCTGCGGTGTATCAGCAGGAGCATCTTAAATAAGAGCAGAGGTAATTCTAAGCTGATCCGCAATGGTAACATCTGTGACAATGAAGCACAGGGTCCCAAACTTCAGGGAAATAGTGGAACCAAAGGAATAGAGGAAATCCTTCAGAGCCCGAAGGCCTGATTTGTGAGGAAAGAGAGAGAGTATTGCGTTTGTGTGAAGAATCAGGAGAGATGGTAGGTTTTTAAAAATGTGCTGCAAAATGAGTTAATTTGATATCGACATCTACTGTGGACAATACAGTAATAGAGGGAGACTTGTGCTACAGTTCCAGCTCCAGTGGGTCAAGTTAGGCTCTTCTCACTGTATGGGCATTGAAGTCATAGAAAAGTATTTGTAATATGAAGTCCCTATTGCTGTAGTATTCTGAAAAACAGCTTAGGCAATGATTGATCAGTGACACCACGTGCTCTTAAACATATCCTAGAGCAGTGAGAGAGAATGAACAAAATCTCTAAAGTAATTTCCAGCTCTGCCTTTGGTGTCATAGAAATTTACCACCATCATTGTGCTTGTCAGTTTCAAGTAGGTATAAAAAATGAATTGGTATAAAAGCAGTAAATGTGGCAGAAGGTGATGCGACTGACCAAGAAGCAACCATGTGAAAAGGGCCAGCCCAGGAGTCAGCCTGCTGGCAGGCAGCAAGCTGTGCAGAATGGGTGGCTCCCAGAGCTGTCGTTCTGACAGCCTTCCTCCTCAATGGCCATAAAGCGTAAAGGAAAATAAGACAGTAATTTAATGTGAAATTAACTGCTAGGCCAAATTTGCTGAAGGGTGCTCTGTGATGGTTTTGAATTTTCTTTACTAACTTTTAATGAGAGTCAGTTTACGAAATCAAGCCCACTTTAAAAATAACTTGGGATGCTCAAAACTTAGGGGTCTTCTCTGACTGTAGAAACATGGGAAAGTGCCTGTGCTACTATAAAACAAGTGGACTTGGCTCTTTGCTTTTATCTGTAGTATCCTTAAAAGCAATTTTCTTGAAGCTTAGTATTTTTATTCTCAAAGCAAGAGCTACAGAACCTAAAATCCTGACTATTCTTTTAATATGCACTTAAATCAAAGTGTGTACCTAAGAGATGTATTATTATTACCCTTCCAGTGCAGGAAATACGACTTAAGCCTTGCCGTTGGAGATGGCATTTAGTTTGGTTTTTGGAGCATTGTCTTGTTGCAACATCATCATTCTGTCGTGATTCTGTTGTGTTCAGAATCTTGTGAGGAACAGCTGTCTGGAGGCAGAGGGAGTTTCACCGTGGTCCTGTATAACCTCACTGTATGACCATGCAATGCTGCTGGTGCTCTTGAAAGCTGTAGCTGAAAAGAACTGAATTCTGTTACCTTACTGCCAAAATAGACTTTGTCAAAACGGAGTGATTCCTTATACCATAACTGTTTACTTAATGATGTTATAAACTTCTCATTAAAATCAATGTCCAGGACTTCTTTTTTCCCAAAGAGATGTTATCCCTTCACCTCCAAATTTAAATTCAGACTGCTTTAAAATTCTTGAACTTTGGCCCTCTTCATGCAGAATTTTGAATAAGTAAATTCATCTACCATTTGACAAAGTGTTTGGGTTCCTTTCCCCTCAGGCATGAAATCTGTATTTTTAATATGAGTTCGATGCAAGATCATGTTCAAGTAGAACATGTTTACTACTACAGGCGTTGAAATAAAAGCAGTGTAATTATACTGAATTATGCTCTACTTTTGCATTTTTGAACGAGTCTTTTCGACCAAACAGTGTGATAGGATTCTGATGGAGTTGGGTGAATGCATTATTTCCTAACCCTGAAATACTAAGTTGTGGAAATGGTAGGGAAAACACGCGTAGGGGAAAAAACAAAACAAAACAAAAAAAACTTGTAATTTCACAGTGTGGTAGCAAAGTAGTAATGATATAATTTGTTTTGTTATTTACAGATAATAAAATTACCCAGTGGGAAGACCCCAGACTGCAGAACCCAGCAATTACTGGTCCTGTAAGTACTGCTGTGGTTCTTTTTGCACGAAATGCTGTGACTCATGTACCTTTTGTGTAGGCAGCAGTTGTAAATAAGCAACATGTCATGCTTGTTTTCCACATGACAGAATCACAGCCTGGTTGGATTGGAAGGGTCTTTAAAGCCCATCCAGTTCCAACCACTGCCATGGGCTGGGTGCCCCCACCATGCCCCCACCAGCTCAGGGTGCCCAGGACCCATCCATGGCCTCCAGGGATGGGGCTCCCCCTCTTCTCTGGGCAGCCAGGTGAGCTCAGGCTGTACTTGGTGAATAGAACAGGAGGCAGGACCAACCTTAGCTTGCTTTGTCCTGAGGGACGTGGGAGACTCAGATGAGCATTTTGTGAGCCTCCAAAGGCAGAGGAACTGCTGTCCTGTGCCCTCCTGGTGAGGTGCCCCAGAACTGGTGACAGTCAGTGACCCTATTTTGTTTTACATACGCTGGGTGCACTGGAGACTTTTCCAGCCTGCTGCCAGTGGTCCAAAGCAGAGTGGGGTTCATGAGGAATCACTGCATTGTTTGTCACTGGTATGCTACACACACCATTTCCAGCTCAGGCAGTAGGTTCAAAGTTGGTGGTTTTTGGAGTCTTTCCTACTAATGGCTACTGAGATATGGCATTTTTCACACAATACAGCATGTTTTCTTCCTAGAAGCCATTAACATATGATTTTGACTGTCTAGGAAACATTCTTGATTGGTTTGTCACAGTAAATCACAGAATACTTCCGTTTCAGCAAAAGAAGGAGAAGAGGGCTCCTTTTTTAGCAGGGTAGAAACTGCTTTATGTGATTGTTTTTAATTTCTGTATTGCTGTGCTGTTTCTTTGCGAAGCTCCATTCGCTCTGAAACTGCAGAGCTAAATACTCTGCATGGGTTCATTGGTTATCATTTTATTCTGTTCTCATCCAGCAACCAGAAACTTATTGTGCTAGGTGCTGCACTGTGTTCAAATTGTGTATTTTGGTACAGAGCTGTGTGTTCTGATTCTTTGATCAGAAGATCTTGGGAGTTTTGTACTGGCCGTGTAATAGTAGTTTTATCACTTCCTCTGTGAGAATGGGGTTAACTCACTGAGGGCCATGGACATCCATTGCTGTGTGGGCATGTGCTTCATCCTGCACCTTGTGGTTCATTTCATAGCTCTACCTGGAGCCCCTCAACTTGTTCTAACGAGCATTCTCAAAATTCTTTGTATTTTGTCTTTGTGCAGCACCTTATAATCCTTACCACTTCCAACTGTGTAAATCCATACCTTTTGATAGCAACACTCATTCCTAGAAGTCATAAAAATACCATATGACGTGCTTATTGTTTCCCAATGAAGGACACAGATGACAATATTGCATTCCAATCTCTTTTCTCTGTGTTAAAAATAGTTTTTGCTCTTTTCTGTTCCTAAAATAAGAAAGAAAAGAGGCTAAGTAGTTGATGAACAGAAAGCATGGGTAAAAATTTTGATACATCTTAACTCAACTTACACACTGAGAAGATTTGGTGTTCTGTACTTCATGCATGTGTTTTTTTTTAATGACACAATGAGTTACATATCTAGATAGCGTCTTCAAATTTATATCTTACTTGTTTAGGTATAAAGTAGCATAACAAACGATACCTGGAATAATTTGTATTTACAATTCTCTGTCTGTAGGCGGTTCCATATTCTAGGGAGTTCAAACAGAAGTACGACTATTTCAGGAAGAAGTTAAAGAAACCCGTGAGTATAACCATGCTGCTTTGTGTTGAAGTCTGTTATGTCTGGGGAGAAGTGAGTTGTCCTCGGGGTAGATACAGATTAGTGTTTCTTGCTGTAACACATCTGCCAATGATTCTTGGTTGCCATACTCCTTAAAGGAGTAGAAACCAAGACAATGAAGAAAAGTTTGAATTTGGTGGATTTCTGAACAAAAACATTTACATATCTTTAAGATGCGCATTTTCCGGTACGAATAGAAACCCAAAGTGATGAGAGAGGAAGGAAATGTCATTTACTTACTACTGATTGATATTTCTCCTTCATTTTTAATGGTGGATTTGAAGGACAGAGCTGGAGAACGCTGGTAGAGTGGGGAGCCTACAGCGTTACTGAGTCTGGCACGAGCTTCTGATGTTCCTGTTCTGCAAAAATACCTTATTTAATTTCAGTGAGCAGTAGGTATTAGCCCACACCTGCTATCAACTGGTGATTTGCTGCAAACAGCCTTTGTAGCACGAGCTCTGACGCCAGTGCCTTTACCTCTTTGTTAGTAGTTCCTTCAGTGTGCATCCTGACCAATGACCAGGTGGACACAATAAGCACATTTGCCAGGAAAAAGCAAACCTTTTGACACACTCGTGTCAGGTCAATCTCACCAGAGGAACTGTACCTGCCTGAAACTGTCACGAGTTCACCCAGTCTTGTGCCTCTGTTTTCAAATATTTTACCCAGTTCTGCCTTTTTGAATTTCTGGGCTAAATCGTAATGACTGCTAGAGCTCTCATTTTTCAGACAGAAATTCTCAAGTATTTTGGCAGTCCTGTTCTATTTTGTTCAGTTCTGCTTTATGCGCGGAACAGTTCTGGCTTTTACAGGAATCTGAGTGAAAGGGCAACATGAAGCATCGTCTTTGTTATCATGGAATCACAGAATAGTTTGGGTAGGAAGGGACCTCTAAAATCACCTCATTTCAACCCCTGCTATAGGCAGGGACACCTCCCACCAGACCAGGTTGCTCACCATCCAGCCTGGCCTTGAAGCTGTCATGCCCTTTAAATACAACACAGTAAAACTAATATTGTTCTCTCTTTTGTATTTCATGTTGTTTTCAGTGTTTTATCAAATATCATAGAAATCTCTGATCCCTGGGCCTGGAACATACCCGGTTCACTGTCATCTGTCAACCTGTAGAAGTAGAAAGCATTGGAAAACAAGCATAAGGAGAAACTTGGCACAGTCAGATGTCAAATCCATCCTTTAGTTTTTAACCTCTAGTCCATAATTTCCTGAAGATCATTTGCTCAGACTGATAAGTAAAATGTACTCTCCTTTCACACAGGCTGATATACCAAACAGATTTGAGATGAAGCTACACAGAAATAATATTTTTGAGGAGTCCTACAGAAGAATCATGTCTGTGAAGAGACCTGATGTACTGAAGGCCCGGCTCTGGATTGAATTTGAGTCGGAAAAAGGACTTGACTATGGAGGTGTGGCCAGAGAGTGGTTTTTTCTCTTGTCCAAGGAGATGTTCAACCCATATTATGGTCTTTTTGAATATTCAGCAACGTAAGTGTCCGTTAAAATCTTTCCATTTGCAAGCAATATACATTAGATTTTGCATGAGCAGGGAGGTTACATTTGGGAGTAGTTAGGTCATCCTTCATGACACAGTTGTGCACTCTTGTCAATCAAATCTGTGCTCTCATTTATTTTTTCCTTCTCTGGGGACCTTTCAATTCGCTGTTGAAATCACATAAAGCATTCTCACTATTAGGACAGTGTTGCCTTGCTGGCAGCAGCACAAAGTACCGTTTCTGGGGCGAGCAATAGTGAGTTGAGTGATGCAGACAAAAGACCATTTGTGCCCTCCCAGAGCATCATAAAACACCTGCCTTCCAGAACTGTACTGCTTCTTTGTCATTAGCTCACAAAACAGCTTCTCGTTTGCATTTCAGTAGGTATACAACACCGGTCCTGCATGAGCTCAAGTGCATTTATGTCCAATTTTAAAACCCTCAGTGGTTCATTTATGTAAATGAGAGAGCCACGTCTCCTGCTTAAAGCACATTCCTTTTGTGTCTGCCTCTGTAATTCTACGCCGTGTGCTTAACCACAGGAGGGATGGATTTCTTCATTGCAGCAGTTCCTATGTTTTCACATCAGTGTCATACTCACTCCTTTCTCTTATGAGTGTTGAATGAGTGGTAAAGTCGATGAACAAAGGCTGTACAATGAGAGCTTTCTCACATTTGTGTCTCAGAAGAAACACGTTCTGATTTTGGAGGGAAGCTCAGCTTACAGAAGAACAGGCTAGCTCAGAATGCCTCTGGGTTAATATTTTACTGGGTGGTGTGTTTTGCAATAATACTTCCACTTCTGTGACACAGGTTGCTGCAGTTACTTTAAAAATAACACTGTCCTCATGTGAAGTTCACTTTCGTGGAAAGGAGTGTTTTAAATTGTAAACATTCACAGTGGATTGATTCTGTGCTGTAAAGTTCAGTAAAAATGTACTAGGGAAGGCCTGCTTCTAACCAGTGAATCTGGAAGCAGTATTTCCCTGAACTTTCCACCACGCACACAGATGGAAAAGATGAATTTAGAATTAATTATGGTTATCCCACAACCAGGAGGATTATTAGGAACCTTTGTCAGATCATCGTTGTGGTCATTAAAGCATTATGCAGCATAGACAAGAAGTGGTCCTGAGCTGACGTTATTTATTAACGTATCTAAATATCTGTGTATTCAAAGATGTGATGATTTAGATTTTTTTCTTGCTTTCTTCAAAAAAGGGACAACTACACGCTTCAGATTAACCCTAATTCGGGTCTTTGTAATGAAGATCACCTTTCATATTTCACATTTATTGGACGAGTGGCTGGCCTGGCAGTGTATCATGGGAAGCTGCTGGATGGTGAGTTACTGCACTGTGTGGCTATGCTACTGCAACTGGACTTTTGTTAAATAAATCACTTTGATAATTAATGTGTTTCAGAGTGTAGTACATCTGGAAATAAAGTTAGAGGGAAAGTATTGAAGTGGAAGCTTTGGAAATTGTATTCCTACTTTGAATGGAGATTTTGTCAAGATTATAGTGTCTTGCTCAACCAAAACATTTCTCATAAAGCTTTGCTTCCTTCTCCTCTCTTGTTAATCTCCATTTCTAAATAATCTGCACACTGAAGGATGACCACTACATTTGTATGAGGCCTTTCCATGCAAAACAGCTGCAGCTGAAACAGTTGCATGGGTACCAACTGCAGCATGCATGTTTTGTAAATCTGTTACTCATTGATTTAACTATTAATTAAATTTTTTGCTGGGGTTTAGAATCCCAGAATAGCCAAACAAGCAGTGATTCAAGCTGACTACATTTTAGTTAGAGGTAGTGCAGCACAACACTGCATTGTTCTTGAGAGAAGAGGGACAGGAATACCTTCAACTCAATGCTTCATCTTTTATGTCTCTCTACCACAGAACTGATATTAATTACATTGGTGCAATTCTTGTGATTAAAAGAACAACTCTGTGAGTCTGAATTAAAAATGAGCCTGCTGTTAACCTGAGCAGTTACAGCTCAGGTTTCTTGCAGGGTATTTCTTTGCAAATGTGTGGTGTTGTGTCTTAGAGCAGTCTGTCCTTGATTAAGGTGGAAATGCAGAGTAGTAGAAGTAATGTTTTCCCCCTCTGTTTTAGGCTTCTTCATCAGACCTTTTTACAAGATGATGTTGGGGAAGCCAATAACGTTGAAAGACATGGAATCAGTGGTAAGGACATTTAACCCTTATCAGCACTAGAAATTACTTGAGGATTTTTCCTATGGGGAAATCAATTTAATTAATAAATTAACTAATTCTCCTTCACCTTTCTCTCTGTTCTGTACCCATGCCCAGAACAGAGACCTTTGCCCAAGGAGGCTGTGGATGCCCCAGCCCTGCAGGCATTCAAGGCCAGGCTGGATGTGTTTCTGGGCAGCCTGGTCTGGTGTCTGCCAACCTGCACATAGCAGGGGGTTGGAACTGGTTGAGCATTGTGATCCTTTTCAACCCTGGCCATTCTATGATTCTTTCTCTCCCTTCCTTTCTTTCTTTCATCAGTCCTTACTTGTGAAGCTAATACATAACAAAGATGCAACCCTTTCAGGAAGTGTTAACTTTTAATAATAACAATGTAATCAATTATTTTGTAATACATCATTGATGTAATTAAGTGGTGTATCTATTGTGTTGAAAATAACAGCTTCATCACAAAGATATTCTTTAACCAATTACTACGTGTTGCCATATACACATGTACCAAATATATATGTACAATCAATTTATTGCATAATAACACAGTTAAAAAGCAATTAAGGGAATTCAGTACCAGCTGAAAAACACAAAGATCAGTCTCATCCTCCTTTACAGTAGCTGTACCAGTAAACAGATTCCAAGCTCTCTGCAACCCCCTGGAGTTCTAGATTTAGGTGCCTTTTATCTCTTTAATGTTTTTATTTTCAAACCTTGTTTAATTTTAATCTCCTGTAGGACAGTGAATACTACAACTCTTTGAAGTGGATCCTGGAGAATGACCCTACAGAGCTGGATCTCATGTTTTGCATAGATGAGGAAAACTTTGGACAGGTATGTAAACACTAACCCAAAAGTTTGTAATTCCGTCTTACTGGTTATTGCCAAAAAGTAATTAACTTCTGGGCAGTATCTCATGGTTGTGAACTTAATTGGGACTGCTGCATGTTAACGACCAGTACAGGCAGACTTTGACTTTCTTACTGAACTATTTAAGTCTTGAGATGCCAAAGAAGGAAATTACATTCTTGCCAGTGAGCAACACAGTGACTTTCTGAAAAGCAGTATTTGAAACTAATAAAAGACAGAATGCTCATTAAAAATGGTCTCAGCCTGGGAGACAATTGGTTCTACAATTGAAGATGTTCTCAAAGAACATGGGAAGAGGTAGAATTATAAGCAGCAGAGTACCCTTTTACAGTCTCTTTTAATAGTGCAGACAGATGATACAGCAAAAGGAAGCATGCTTGTTTTGCAAAGATTCACAATTGTTTTTGTTACAAACAAAAAATGCTTTAGTCCCATTTGGGAACCAGTAATAATGATGGAATTTTAAGTCCTCTTGGCTCTATCCTGTTTCAGCTTACCTAACTCAGTGAGCTACAGATAAATCCCAATAGCAGCAGGTATAATCTTGTTTCCATCATACTGCCTGTGAGAGGCAGAACTGCAAGACAGATTTTATCACAGAAAAGCCTGAAGCTCAGTATTATCAGGGTAGGATCTGCTGTACTGCAGAGTAAGCTAGATGGGTAGAGACTGGAATGTCTTATCCATCTAAATGCTTGCAGGATGTTTCTCAACAATTCAGAAGCTGTAAAACATGGCAGATAATGACTAATTTGTCTGCTTCTGCATTTTCCATTTACTGGTGTCAAAACTCTGGGGTCTCATGGAAGTCATATAATCATAGAATCACCACGGTTGGAAAAGACCTCCACATACCACCAATACTTCCCAATAAACCATGTCCCTCAGTACAACATTTGAATGTTTCTTGAACACCTCCAGGGACAGAGATCCACTCACTTGCTGCTTGTTTTGCCTCAAGCAGCGCTGCTGAAACGTTTGGAACTTGGTTAGGAGATTGTACTGCTTCCACACAGATGTTCACTATGTAAGAGGGAAAGATTTGCATTGCTGTAAGCTTCTGTCTTTGTTTATACTTCAGTTATCACCAGAATCTTTCTCAAATTAAAGGAAAAACAAGAGAAATCTAATATGTGATAGCTAAGAATAGGATTTTGCTAGCACTCACAAATGAGTAAGAAGGTATTTTCAAGATATAAAGCATGGAAAGCATCCTTCAAAAGAGAAGAGAAGGATGATGTCTCTCTTTCTCCTAAGTTCACAGATCTTAATCACAGACTCACAGCCTGGAGAGGGTAAGGCCCTCCAGCCCTCCCTGCCCCAGCTGTGCCAATAATTTCTTTCAGCACTTTGAAGAATTAGAAGGCATTTTTCTGTCCTTATGAAGATGGGAGGATGTGTTTTCTTTGCCCAGTTTTACCTGCCGTTTTGCAATAGGTGTTGAAAAATAATTTACTCTTAAGAGTGACCATAGAATCATTTCTTCCTAATTAAATCATGTTTAAACATGAAATATGTTGATGTCTCAATAGCTATTACGGTGTAATAACTTTTTAGTACTGCTTGTAAAGTGCCTCTCAGGGGTGGTGGATTTCATGAGGAACATGTCCTGAAATAATGCCCTGTTGTATTTTGTTTTTTCTTTAAAATCCAGACGTATCAAGTCGACCTGAAGCCAAATGGGTCAGAAATCATGGTAACAAATGAGAACAAAAGAGAATACATTGAGTACGTATATATTTGTAGAGTTTACCCTAGGTGTAACAACACACAGTGTTAATGCTTTGGAATTTACCCCACTGCAGTTATTGTAGCAGAAAGAATTGTCAGAAAACCTTTTAAAAGAAAATCCCTTTGTTAACATGGTTTGTTTACACTACATTCCTAGAAAGTTGGAATATTAACCTTTATTGTTCAATGAATTACTCTAATTAAGGCAGCCCATGTCATGTAGTAGGAAACAGTATTTTCTTGATGTGTTGGCATAAGGAGTATTCAAGGAGGCATGGAATTGCCCCGAATGGCTGCAGACACCAGTCTAAATTACTCATCCTGAGCACCCTCCAAAACAAAGAAATGGCATTTCCTGGATACAGGAATTACTACGTTACAGCAGCATATGAATCTGGCCTGATTTCATGCCTCATTTTCTGCACTGGCTGCCCACCTAGGTAACTGCCTCTGCTTTGTAGGTCTCCTAAGCAGTAAATTTGCACCCTGGGCTGCAGTTTTTCCTGGTGAAGTGCTTTCAGAGAATGCAAATGAAGAATAAGTGCAGATCTCAACAATAAACTAATGAGAGAAAGGAGTGAAAATAGGACATCGTGTTGCTGAGGTCACATTTGCTTCCCCTTTAGTTTTTATTCAGGAAGGGTTCAGGAGCTCTGCACATGTTTAAGTACTCCTTTAAGAGGAATACTCTGTACTTCTTTATTCACCTCCTGTGCAGTGTGGTATTACAGTGAAGTGACCGTAATAGCAGAACAGTAAGAAGTTTTTGGTTTTATGATTTGTTTTCTGCTCTTAGTTTGACTGTGCAGCATATATTTACACCATCAGCAGTTCAGTTTTTCAGGCATTCAGGCAGTTTTTGTTGGTTTACAGATGCAAAGTGTAAGATGTCATAAGCACTTTTTATCTCTGTAATCTTCATGTAGTAAAGCAATAAAGAAGAGCTCTTTGAAAAGGTGTGTGCCAAAACAAAGAACTGAATTGCACCTCCACCTCAATAATCCTAGATAAATGCTAATGGTAGTGTTTTTATAACTTCAGAGTCCATACTTGTGCTTATATACACTCATTTCTTAATGTTTGATGCAGTTTAATTTTTTCCAGTGCTTTTTCCAAGAGTTATGTTATGATTGAGGAGTTCTAGTTGGTGCACAAGGGAAAAAAGAAGAGAAAAAAAGAAAAGGAAGGAAACTGCAGTTGTAGTCACAGAATCACAGAATCACAGATATCACAAATATACTTATGGTTGTGGAATAAAAAAAAAAAGTCATCATTTAGGTAACTTAATTCTAAGAGTAAGTACATTAACCAGGGTCGAGACTACAACCTCACTTAGAAAGAAAGCATAGTAATGAATTTGTAGGCTGCATAATTTAATAAAAAGCAACCCAAATTCTCTAATATAAAAGTATGATTGAGAGATACCTAAAGTTGTAAATGAGAAGCTGACATTGTTAGGATTGCTAATTAGTCTTCTAATGAATGTGTTCATGTTTTTATCTCCTATAGCCTGGTCATCCAGTGGAGATTTGTAAACAGAGTTCAAAAACAAATGAATGCTTTTTTGGAGGTAAGGTTCTCTTTTTTATCCTTCTTTTTACCCAAATTATGTACGCATACATCAGTACCTGGTTACAGGAGTGGGAAGCTGTGCATGACCACACAGGTTCTGTTAGTCTCATAAGGTCATTCTCATTCAAGTTGACATTATTTGAGCTTCAAATAGCAATTTTTAAATTAGAGACTCATAATACTTCAAGAACTGTTATATTTCATTTTCTAAACCCTTCTTTGTCCTCCATCACTTACTTAGCTCATAGCTTTCTCCAAAGGCAAAAGTTCTGTCAGATAAAACCATAATTATACGTAGTTTGCTAATTTTACTTTTTCTCTTAGGGATTCACAGAACTTCTTCCTATCGATCTGATTAAAATTTTTGATGAAAATGAACTAGAGGTGAGTTGGTTTGATGCCCAGGGACGACAGATTGATACTGCTGATTGCAAAGATGCACTACATTCTCAATTCACTAGGTCATCATGGAGTTTGGAGGCAAAGATTCTTTCCATTAGTAGGCAGTGAGGATTTTTTCTCCCCAAATTAATAAATCTATCAATCAAGTAAAAGCACAGGAAGTATCAGTTACTCACTGAGGTGGTTTAGTACATGCATATGTAAGGAATGCAAGTAGGTTGCTGAACGAATGACATCTACTGGTCATGTTTTCAGCAAATATGCTGTAAAAGATACTGTCACATGAAGCATACATACTTCATACTGCATAGTGTTTCTCCAGTGAAGTGAGGTGATCTTTGAGAATTCTCCTGAAGAGAAACTCAGTATCACTTTATGTCTGTATTTGCATTGGTACAGTGTTAACTTCAAGAGGTCGGGCAACAGAGGGAGAGGAGTGGTGGTTTTTCTGATGAAGCGTTCAGGGTAGTACCAGTACTATCTTCAATTAACAACACATCAATTATTTCCATATTTAGTTACTGATGTGTGGCCTTGGGGATGTCGACGTTAATGACTGGAGACAGCACACAATCTACAAAAATGGCTACTGCCCAAATCATCCCGTCATCCAGTGGTTCTGGAAGGTAAAGCTCTTAGTGTGTTTGGCTTCTCTGACTACACCTGGAAGTCAAAGATCCCTTAGCGTGTTGTGGAGTCAGTTATGAAATTCTTTTTCTTTTCAAAAACTACTGAAAAACACATTGGTATATGCTGGAAATGGCAGTTGTCGTACTTCCTGGAGTCTATATTGGAATGGCCCATGATTGACAGAGTCTCTCTCTGGTTTTATTGAAGTGGTCTGTAATCTTTGTGAACTACAGTACTTCTATGAAAAGTGTATGTTTGCAGGAAAACTAGGTTTTCCCTGTACTACAGAAGTACTGTGAGTCACCTCATACAGATGAACGGCAGTTGTAGCTCCTGGCAGGGAGCTACAATGCCCAATTGCCTGGGCATTGTCACTTTCTTTGTTATAAGCAGAAAAGAATTCTTGTTTAACCAGAGAAAATGTAGCATGCCATCCTTTGAAGTTAGATGTCTATTTCTTACCATGTAATACAAATAAATTCTGTTTTGCTTATTTTAACACTGACATCTTCAGCCACGAAAAGTCACCCTGTCTGCTTCTCAACAGGCTGTTTTACTGATGGATGCAGAAAAACGCATTCGGTTACTGCAGTTTGTTACTGGGACGTCACGAGTGCCTATGAATGGATTTGCTGAACTTTATGGTAAGCTTCCTGCCCTCTGCCTGCAGATCACATGCTGCAGGTGGCTCCCGAATGCCATCAGGAGAGCACAAACACTACTGAAATATGGGCACGGCCAACCTTTACTCCCAGATAAAACTCCTTGCACTGAATGCCAGCAGCACTGGAGAAACTGGGGACACTGGAAGGGAAGCATAGTTTTGTTCACAGAATCACAGAATTGTTTGAGGTGGAAGGAACCTTTAAAGGTCATCTGGTCCAACTGCCCTGCAATAAAGAGGGACACATAAAGCTAGATCAGGTTGTTCAGAGTCTGAGCTCAGAATCTCAGGTCCAACCTGGCCTTCAATATCTCCGAGGATGGGAAATCCACCACATCTCTGGGTAGCCTGTGCCAGTGATTCATTATGGAATCATAGGATGGCCCAGGTTGGAAGGGACCTCAAGGGTCATGAATCTCCCCTGCCACATGCAGGGCCACCAACCTCCACATTTCAGAGCAGCCCAGGCTGCCCAGGGCCCCATCCAACCTGGCCTTGAGCACCTCCAGGGATGGACGGGGCATCCACAGCCTCTCTGGGCAGCTGTTCCAGCACCTCACCACTCTCTCTGTAAAGAACTTCCCCCTGACATCCAACCTAAATCTCCCCTCCTTCAACTTAAAACCATTTCCCCTTGTCCCTGTGTTCACCATGGGTGTTCTGTAGATGTTCTCCTTGCCCAGGAAGTATCAAATCCCTCAAAGAAAATGTCAGCTGTGGGCAGCAGTAAAGTTCATGGCACATGAAGAAGAGGAGATTGGAGGTCTATGCAAGTGTGGTTGGTTTTTTTCCAGTTACCAGTCTAGCTTACCTCTTTCACACTGTATGTGCTCTACCCAAAGAGTAGCTTGGTGAATTTAGTAAGTTAACTGCATTTGGAAATAGTATATTTCCACATCACTGTTTGCTTTAATGTAATTTTGACCTAACAGTGTTTGTACAAAGTATTTTGTACCTGTTGTAAATGGAAGTTACCATTAGGGTAAACATGCAATTTTTAATACAGCAATTGAAGTAGTTTCTGTAGGGTCCACTAACTCAAGTTTCTTTTTTTTTTTTTCCCAACTAGGTTCAAATGGTCCTCAGCTGTTTACAATAGAGCAATGGGGAACTCCTGATAAACTGCCCAGAGCTCACACATGGTAAGTCCAGAGCGTGTGTGTTCAACCATCTGTGCATGAGTCTGTTTGAGTACAGGTGGGTCTGGTGTGTGTGTCACAGTGAGTTCATGTCCTAAAAAGAATAGAACATGTTATTCAATAGATAGAAAATCAATGCATGGACTGGGCAAGCAGATACACACACATGGAAACATGAGAAGGGTGATGTGGTTGGTGCTGGCTGACAGACGTGCACCAACTCCAGAGCTCATTCATCCTCATGCAGGTCCATGCATTTATTTTCCACGTTTTATGTAACAGTTTTTTTCCTCTTCAGGGGTGGTTAAGAGCATAAACCTTCCTATTTTCACAAGACAGTGAATAATTTCTGAAAACTCTCAGGTTGGCCTCAGCTGGTACCCATGGGAAACGGCTGGCAGTGGCTAGCTGTGCACAGCCCATTTCTCCAGTTGAATGCACACTCCTGTCTCATGCCCAAGTTATTCAACCTTTTCTATTTCTCTCAAAAAAATGCGTTCAAAATATTGAAGTAATTCCATTTTTCTTTTCCTTCTGAATTTCAGCTTTAATCGCTTAGACTTACCTCTTTATGAATCCTTCGACGACCTGCGAGAGAAGCTCCTTATGGCAGTTGAAAATGCACAAGGATTTGAAGGAGTGGATTAGGGCACTGCTTCCCACTTTTCGGCGCGTTCTGCTGCACTTCCACTTCTCCACGATGGACTGTGACTGTGGCAGAACCGTCGCACAGCGCTGGTTCCTGGAGCAAACTCTTCGACAGTGCGGTGGCCTAAATGCAGAATCTTGAACTCTGGTCTGTGGATGGCTTTTTTGACATTTCCACAGCCAGTTACTATGGGGTTATATGTACTCTGATTACATTTCAGCAGGACTTACTGTATTTATGTTGTGCCTCTGTAGGCTGAGCCCTTAATAAAAATTTTACATAATTTCTAATGACAATGAATGAAATTAATCATTTTACAGGGGTAGTGTTATAATTCATGTTTACTTTTTAATTGATTTAGACATTTTCAGATTATATTTCATTACAATTAAATTTCATGTATCTGGGGAAAGAATGAGCATTTTTCTTAATTTCTTACCAGACTTGATGCCAGTGTCATTTTTTTCAAGCTCATTTTGAGCCTTGTGTTCCCAAACTATTAGGAAAATAGGAGATAGTTATCTTGGAATTCTTCTCTATATTGGCTATATCAAGAGCACATAAATATTTTTCTGTATCCAGAGGAGGTATGGATTCTATGTTGCATTTTTGTATAAATAATAGTTATGAGTCGAGGGACAGTCATAACATAGCATGCCAAATCTCATGTTCAATAAAGAAATTGCCTCATTATTCCTTGGTGATATTTACATGTACTGAAGAACATTTTGGGGTAGGGTTGGCATTAATCATTTAGGAAAATATGCTTAACCCTGTCATTATCTTTGTATAGTGGTTCTTTTATTATCCTTTCCTCTTTACTGTGTGCAGTGGAGGCATTTTGAAGGAAACCTGGCACTGTGTGATTTGGCATTATGGAAAACAGATCTGTTTTGTCTCCTATTTGTATGCATTTGCTAATGATATCTAAACACGGTATCTTTTGTTTCTAACTGCACCAACTCTAAAGGCACTTTATGTAACACATTGAAGTCATATCTGTGTTTTTTTTTATCATAAACATTAATGTGATTATGTTCCTTCTCACTGCACATGTCTTTCTGGTGCAATATCTATCAATTGTGAGTTTGGCTGCTGCTGATGTATAAGAGGAAAAAAAAAACCAACAGCTGTAGAGCTGAGCCTGCAGACATGTTCCTCAGCAATTGTTTTTGTGATTTATTTTTTACTTAATCACAAAGATTTATTTAATATACACTGCTATCTATCTAATCAGTTTTGTTACCTATGACATGTTGCATGCCTAAACTATAATGTCTTGAGTTGCATCTCTTGTGTGATGGATTAAAAGTGAAAGATTTGTATTTGATCCACTGAACTTAAATGGTTGCAGCACTACGGCAGGAGGTGTGAGGGTATGGCTGCACAGCAGGCGGGGTCAGTTTTGCCTTTTGTGCAGGACTTTTCCCCAGGAGCCCACCTGATGCTTTATGGAGCAGGGTGGTACAGTGTGGAAGCAGAAGGTCACCTCTCTGCCCAGCACTTTGCAGCACCCACCGGAGGTACTGCCTGCTGCTGGCATGGAGCAGCCACACCATGGACCTCAGCAAAGCTGTATCTTAGGGCAAAAGGCCACTGAAAAGAAGGCTTAATGCTAATAACGTTCAGCAAATGCTGTGTGCATGTCAGCAAAAGGTTTGAGGAGCTAACAGGTGCATGAAGGTGTTTTAGCATTTGAACACCAGACTTACCAATTCTTTCGATGTCCCTTTCTAACCTTTTGCACTTTATGATCATAAACCCTTGAACAAGAGAAATAAGTGCATTTCAGTAGGTAAACAAGCACCACACTGATGATTTAGTGGGGGGGGGGGGGGAGGGAAACAGAGAGGATAGGGTAAATCCACAACCTCCTTGGGCAACCAGTGTGTCTGAGGAGGCTGTGGATGCCTCATCCCTGGAAGCGCTGAAGGCCAGGCTGGATGTGGCTCTGGGCAGCCTGGTCTGGGGGTTGGTGACCCTGCACACAGCAGGGGGTTGGTACTGGGTGAGCACTGTGGTCCTTTTCAACCCAAGCCATTCTGTGATTCTATGAAATCCGAGCATCTGCACAGACCTATATACATTAATGCCCAGTGCTGTATACCTTAAAGCACTCCTGAGATTTTTTGGCAGAACTGAAATCCAGCCTCACGCAGAGGCTGTGACCCGGCAGCAGTGCAGCTGAGATGGGAGCAGAAATCAGAGCCTTGTGAGCTCTGCCAGCCATCAGTTCTCAGTCCACCTCACTGCCCACCCATCTATGCCACACTTCCTACATTTCATTACAAGAATGCTGGAGGAGACAATCTGCTATCTCCAGTAAGGTGCACCATGAAAGCACAGCAGAAAACAATAGCCACCTTTCTTGCAGCTGCATTTTCCATTACCTAAGTTCAGACTATCAGGGCATGCAGTTATCCAGCTCTGGGAGTTACAAGACCTGAACAGGAAGCAGATGAGAAGGTTTGCATGTCTGAACACTGGGTGTTGTACCTTGCTTTGCTGTACTGTGATCAGACAGCAAGCTGAGGACTTTGCAGAGAACTTCCCAGATGATGCATGATGGCTGATCAGTGCCTACAAGTGAAACACAGCTGTGTTCCCTGCTGACACACAGAGGACACGGCTCCTCTTGATGGCCTCTCTGCACCCCATTGCCCCCCCAGTCAGCCTTCAGAGAAACAATCCACTGCCACTGGCTTTGCAGAAGTCAAGGGAGCCTGTCACTGAGCTAGGTCCCTAAAATGAGGCTCTCTGAGTATCAAATAGGCAATGATATATATTAACAGGGAGTGCAGTCAGGTTAACCATGAAACTTCAAATTTAATCTTTGCCCAGCTTGAGCCTGGTAAAATTGAAATTCTCCTTTGGACTTGAATACAGTAAGTTTGACCTGGATGCACTCTGGGCCACGAAAAATTTATCTGTATCATATACTGGCACAGTAATGCTTGCAAATAGCATAGATAAGAAGGTAATACTTGTACCATGGTGTCCAGCAGTGCAGTATTACCTCACCTTGAAAGATCGTGCTGGCAAAGACAAGTGCACAGGTTATAACCACCATTGCATTTTTGCTGTGTGCAAAACCAGGTGGCAAAAACCTGGAGCATCTGCTTGTTCTGCTAATTAGGACTAATTACGTGCCCCATTTTGTCAGGCTACGTGCTGCAGTGGGTGGACATCTACATGTGCCTGTGGCATAGAGGTTTTCAGAACAGGGTACTGAGCTGCCCTCCAGGGCTCTGTCCCAGATCTCTGTCACTTCTTGATTAGAGAGAGGATGTGACCTCCTCCTGCATTCAGTTTTTAAACTAAAAGCAAAACTTTGAACCTTGGCCTTAAGTTAAAGAATAACAGAGATGGACACTGGATCGATAGCGGACAAATATTAGTCTCATGCAGTGGGCAGATGCTTCTCCGCTGTAGATCTCTTTCAGTGTGCCATTGCAGAATCTTTAGGTTTAAAGGTTTCTTTACATACAGAAAAAAAGAAAAAACACTTTGAAGTAGCTGGAGGTTAATATTCCGTGCTAATCCATCCATCTCCTTCCTCCCAGAGCAGAGAACTGAGCACTGCAAACAACATTCTCTGTCTTCTGCCATCCCAGTCACTTCCTATATTCCAGAGCATTATTTCTGTGAAAAATTGCTTTCAAGAAAATTGCCAACTTTTGACCAGCTTCCTAGTCAAGCATGCAGATACTCAATAACAATAAGCATGCACTATTTAGTGATAATGTAAACAGAAGTTGTGATAACATTTCCTCATCTCAGACCCAGCTGTGCCCCTGGGTTAAAACAAACATGCAGTCAAAATCATGATTTCATCTCTACGAGGGCAGTTCTGCTGCACCAGAAGAATATGAAATGGAAAATTCCATGCTGAGGTGCAAAGGCATTTTTTGCTAGGAGGATTGCAGCAGTCCACATCAAGCTGTAGTTGCAAGGGAAACAAATTGGTCTTCAGGGTGTCAGTGCTCTGACAAGCACAAAGGAGAATGACCTTAGGAAACAGAAAATCAGGATATTTCAGGATGTAACATCTAACAGCATGAGTGATATTTAACAGAAATCTGAGGCTTGATTGCTGCCTATGCTTAAAATTAACCTACAGCAGTAACTAATCAGGCTTTCTACTTGGACAGCAACCAACAAGAAAATGCCATTTTCTGGGGCCTCTGAGGGTCAGTGCGTATACACACATCCCCATACCACCTTTTATCTGTGCTACAGGCATCTGTTTAAATAGCTCTGTTTGAGCTATCTGTCCGTACAAGGGGCAGGGGTGCAGTGACCACACAGTCAGCCCAGCTGGTCCCCACCTGCTTGTCCTTGGCTACTGCCTGCTGTTGGCAGCCTGAGGTAGGGCCAAAAGCACCGAAAACCTCAAGCCAGGGATATGGCAAAATCCCCAATCATTGTGCAATGATATTGTAAGGGACGCTGGAAGACTTCTGTAGACCTCTGCCTTCAACACTGACAACTGCCTCCATTTTCTTTCCTCTCCTGCAGGAGGAGGACAACCCTGTTGTGGGCTGGCTGCCCTCCACCAGCTCAGGTTGCCCTATCCATGTCCCTGGGTGTTTCCAGAGACGGGGCATGCACAGCTTGTCTGAGCAATCTCAAATTCTCTCTTGTTCTATCACTATTAGACTATGTAAAAACACAGTTCCCCTCCTATTATAACATCTCCCCAAGTAAGGGAGGGCAGCAGTAAGGTCTCCCTTCTTTTCCCCAAGCTGAACAAGCCCAGCTCTCTCAGCCTTTCTTTACAGGGGAGGTGCTCCAGCCCTTTGATCATCTTTGTGGTCTCCTCTGGACCCACTCCAACAGCTGCACATCCTTCTTCTGCTGGGGGCCCCAGGCCTGATGCAGTGCTGCAGATGGGGCCTCACAAGAGCAGAGTAGAGGGGGACAACCACCTCCATGTCCCTGCTGGCCACCCCTCTGTGCAGCCCAGGATACAGTTGGCCTTCCAGGCAAGAAAGAAAGGGACAGACTCTCTAGCAAGTTCTGTGACAGGACAAGGAGAAGTGTTTTCAAACTATAAGAGGAGAGATATAGATTGGACTTGAGCTTTTTGCAGTAAGAGTGGGGAGGCTCTGGCACAGGCTGCACAGAGAGGCAGTGGTGCTCCATCCCTGGTGATCCCAAGGTCAGGCTGGATGGGCTCTGAGCATGCTGGAGCTGTGGGTGTCCCTGTGCAGGGAATGGGACCTGATGGCCTTTAAGGGTCCCTTCCCATTCAAACTGTTCTATGATGTTATGATCCTGGCATCCCTTCCAAGCTGAAGCATCATTAGATCATATGATCTGACAGTGCAGCTCAGCTCACAGAGCGATGCTATTTTCTCACTGTTTGTTCAGAAGGAAATTACACGTGCTTATCAGAGATAACACACTCTGCTTGAATTTTTCAGTGCCATTCTCATCAGAGGTTGTATTCTCCAGATCACACTGACACGATCCCATCCCATCTTTTCCTTACTTCACGTACTGTGTGTGTGTGATATACCTAACATACGCCAACACACAGCTGGGGCAGCTTGTGCACACTCATTTTACTTGAGTCTGGCTGAGTTACTCACCAACCCCAAATTAAAAGGGAACTTCATGTTCCACCAGCATTTAAGAATTGTGAAACGAGCTGAATCTTGCTACATACATCACTTAGTTTCAGAAATCAGCCCAGCTCGTTTGTTCATTTACCTGGAGTTAAAACAAGGCTCTGACTTGCTGCTTACAGAGGGCTGATAAGAACGATTAATATTTAACATTCCCCAGCTTGCTTACGTGAAATGGCTCAAAGGAGATGCCCGTGAATGTTGCAGCTTAATTCAGCGACGCTAGAAATGGATGCGTATTTTCCCCACCAGAAGGCATACTGCACAGCACTGCAATATGTGCTCCCCCTGCACCGTGTTGCATCAGTGCATACCTCAGCTCAGCGCCTTGCTGAGAGCCCAAGCACTGCAGTTATCACCAATTTCACCCCAGAGGCGCAAAGAACAGTGCAGTGCTCATCAAACCCAACAGCCAAAGCAGAACAACAAACCCCCACAGACCGAGCCTGCTCACAGATGTTGAAGGTGCACCGAGTTTTTCTAGAGAACAGACATCATCAAATGCCACTATGGCAAACGAAGCCCTCTCACACGAGTTAACAACAGAGCAGAGCTGACAAGTCCTGCAGATGTAACGCCCGCAGTAATGATCAAATCAAGGAGAAGTCTTGCTCTTGATGCATTTCAGACTGAGTAATCTTTAACAAACTCTGGAGAAAGGGTCCATTCTGACCCCAAAGCAGCACACTGAGTCT